TTCGGTGGCTCCGGTTCAAAAGAACGATATTTAAAATAGCAACATCAAAAAGGCGACATATTGTTAAAGCGATATATCAAAATAGCGACATTTGGAACAGCGACATCTAAAAAAAACAGCAACATATCAAAAGAGCGACATATGTAAAGAACGAGATTCAGAACAGTGACAAATTAAAAGAGTGATTTACAACGACGACCTCTAAGCAAAAGAGGGAAACATCAAATTTTTCCAATATTAATCAAAATTATGTAGACTTAATCAAACTAACCCGTCCGTCTAGGGCAATCTCGTCCTCGTGAGTTAGCATTTTATTCAATTCAATTCAATTCAATTTTTATTGTTTCCAGAAAGTATTTTCTATAACAATGAGTGCTCTAAATCTAGTAAACGTAGTGGTTTGAATTACAAAAGCAAAAATAAACTTATAAAGGAGGGAATATAATTTGTTTTGAATTTGGATACGTATTTGTTATTAGAAACGAACAAAAAATAATAATAATCTAAATAATCTTAATCTAATTACAAAGCGAAAGATAAAGTTACTTGTATTTCTATGTATAAACTAAAAACCAGAAGGGTTCACATTTTGGTGCCTAATAAAAGTACCTATGGAAGGGGTCTATACAACAAAAAAAAGAGAGAAAGTTGATATTTCTAACAAATTCTAATCCTGCGATATCAAAAAGGATCGAAGCCTGAGGAATGACATTATGGTGGAAGCAAATGTTTTGGCAGATACTGGAGCTAAGGTTTCAAGTAAATTGAGAAATGAGTCAGGGCTCGACCATGTTAATGGTCTGACTTCTCTATACATTGGACATCTGAAAAGAATGTGGTCTAATGTCTCTAGTTCAGAGGTGTTACAAACTGTACATATTATGCGGGGGTCAAGTTTATAGAGGATAGAATTAAAGGTAAAAGCACATAGGTATTTGTTGGCAAGTCTTGTTTGCGCTATGAGTTTCAAAACAAATGTTTGTACTCTAAATGTTAAATAAGTAGCTGGATTTTTTGTTATTGATAAAAATGGATAAAAGGTCATATAACTGGAATCTCTAGCCAAAGCAATATCTTTCCGAAAGGATAGCTCTCGGTATTTGTCAATTATTTGATCGATTTTTCGTCTAGTTACAAATCTTGGTGTTAAATTATTAATCAAAATATTATCAAAACCTGTTCCAGTAAGTACCAATTTGAGTTGCGATAGCCAGTTATATGCTAGCGGCGAGTCGATAAGCTGTAGTTGCCTTTTAAGGCAAATTAAGGGTAATCTGCTTTCATCCATAGAGAGCAACCTTTTGAGAAAGTTGAGAGTCCATTTAAGTATAGTTGTCGCTATAGGAGAAACGCCAAACTCCAGGCGAAGTATGGCTGAAGAGGTGCTTTTAGGCAAAGAGATTTTTTGAGAAATGATGTTTGTATCTGTTCAAGGACGTCTAGATATCTTAGGGCCCAGATGGGTGCGGACCCAGACATTATGTTAAGTACACACGTTTCAAATATTTTAAGTCTTGAAGTAATTGAAAATGATTTAGACTTTGATAGATGTGAAACTGCCGCGCCAATGGCCTGTTTGCATTTTGAGACAGATTTGTCTGCCATAATTCGAAATTTAGAAGATGCAGTGAAAGTGACTCCAAGGTATTGACAATTTCAAGGGGTTCGTTTTTGAAAATAAATCTTTTGGTGTAACTAGCTTGAAAACCCCCTCTCCTGAAACACATTATTTTGGACTTTGCAACATTGACTGCCAAATTGTTCTCCTGTACATACTCAGCCAGGATATTCAGGTTGCATTGTAGATCTCGTTCTGAAAGCCCGAAAACAATTAGGTCGTCACAATAGAGCAGCATAAAAAGTTCATTAACACCATCAATATTAATTAGCCTAGCTCCCTTACCCTCAAAAAACTGTATGATATCAGAGAGAAACAGTAAAAACAGAAAAGGGGATAGTGGTTCTCCCTGAAGTACGCCTTCACTTATTCCAATTGGGTCTGAAAGTCCGTCAGAGCATTTTACTTTAGCTGAAGCGTTACAGTAAATCTGAATTAAGATGTTTATATAGGAGGGAGGAACCCCAAAACTATGGAGTTTTCTCCAAAGTAGTGAGTGTTTAACGCTATCAAAAGCACGCTTGAAATCAATAAAGGCAACAAAGCATTTTATTTAAAAAATACTGCGCTCTCAAGAGACCCTGAGCAATCAGTGAATTAACTTTGCTTTTTTAAATAAAATGCTTACGAGGACTAGATCGTACTAGGTGGACGGGTTATTTTGGGTTAGTTTGAGTAAGTCTGTATTGCGACATCAATTTGAACCAATAATAATAAAGCAAATACAGACTTGCTCAAACTAACCCAAAATAACCCGTCCGCCTAGTGCGATCCAGTACTCGTAAGTTAGCATTTTATCCAAAAAAACAGTCAATTTATTTATAGCGTAGGGTCCCTTGACCGCGCCTTGTTTTTCAAATAAAATTCTATTCAGCGAAGACTAGATCGCACTAGGCGAACGGGTTAGTATGGGTTAATTTGAGTAAGGCTGCATTTTTCTGATTATTATTGATACAATTTGATGTGTCCCTCTTTTGCTTACAGTCCTCGTAGATAGTTAGATACCTCGCGTTGTTGTCCAATCGTGCTTTATTCCAGTCGCGTTTTTGTTCCGTCGCGCTTTTGTCCTTCGCGTTTTTGTTCCGTCGCGCTTTTGTCCCTCGCGCTTTTGTTTCTCGCGCTTTTCTCGCTCGCGCCTTTGTTTCTCGCGCTTTTATGCAGTCGCGTTTTTGTTCCGTCGCGCTTTTGTCCCTCGCGCTTTTAGTATCGCGCTTTTCTCCCTCGCGCAAACGACTGTTGCGCAAATGACACAGAGCCCAGTTTATGGTTCGAATACCAGTTTTGACAGATGAATGAAATTTTCTACCGACATTTTTATTGATACTGTTTTGCTAACTTGATGTCAAGTTAGCGAAATACATGATATTTTTTTCAAACGCGATATTTTCTTGAAGAAAAAGAGCTAATTAGCGGCAAATTTCCACTCACTCAATTTATCACTACCGACATTTTTAGTGATTTTTTTTGAAACTTGATTTTTTGTAAAAAAAAAGAAGCGACAAATTTTTGGTTTTCACAACTAATTAGCGGCAAAAAAACGGCAAATTTCCATTCATTCAATTTTTCACTACCGACATTTTTAGTGATAATGTCTCGCTAACTTGATGTCAAGTTAGCGAAACAAATGATTTTTTTTTTCAAACTTGATTATTTATGGAAAAAAAAAGAACCGGCAAATTTTTGGTTTACACAACTAATTAGCGGCAAAAAAAACGGCAAATTTTCATATACCTAATTTTTTACTGCTGACATATTTAGTGATGTTGTCTCGCTATCTTGACGTCAAGTTAGCAAAACACGTAATTAAGAAAAAACCAAATGAGCGGCAAATTTTTTAATTCCACATTTAATTAGCGGCAAAAAAGCGGCAAATTCTTGGCATAATGGAAAATCGATTTTTCGAAGTTGTCTCGCTAAGTTGATAGACATGGCGGATTAGTGGACCAAGGGCCAAAGGAATTTGACTTCATGGCCCCTATCCTGACACAGAACTGTCGAGCCTGCAGAAAATCTTGGATTAGGTTGAGTAGAATTCCTCTTATACCATAATGATGGAGTTTATGAAGAAGCCGCTCAAATGGTACCTTGTCAAAAACCTTTTCAAAATCCCAGTAAAACACATCAACAGACTGGCCAGAGTAATCTGCCCTTGTCCAGTCATGAACTTTAGTAAGCAGGTTCATGAAAGTGGACCATCCAGGTTGAGAAGGTGGGATGATTCCATTTCATTTTCAATCAAAAATCCAGTCATCTCAGATACCAGGAGTTTCTCCATGCTTTTGCAAAGGGAGCTTGTTAAGTTAATGGGCCTATAGTTTACAGGTAGGTGGTTGTTGCCTTTCTTGTAGGAAGACCTTTCATTATGGCTGAGAAAGGATGTGACAGAACTGCAGCACATTTGTTCAGGAAAAAGGCAAGGATTTCATCCTCTCCTGGACTAAAATCTGGCTTCAGTGATTTGAGTGCAGTCTTCAATTTCTCGGGTGAAATTTCAAGTGAATTAGCACAGAATATATCAGGATCCAAGTTGGGCATATAGCTTAGATCTTCTCTTGTAAAAACACTCTGAAACTGTTTGGCAACTTCTTTCTCATCATTAAGGGTGCAGTTAGTGGTCACATCCCTGAGTGAGAAATGTTTAAATCTTGAACCAAGAGTTCTGTTTACGAAGGAATAAAACTGCTGGTTAGAAGAGGCTAAAAGTTCTTGTTCATATTTTCTTCTAGACTGTTTTATCTTGGCTTTGAGGAAGTTATTTTGGTTCCTGTAGTTCAAGTTGTCATTTTCAGAGTTGATTTCCAATTTCTTGGCCACAAATTTCTCTTTTTTTCAATGTGTTTAAAAATTTCTTGAGTTAGCCAATGACTTGCTCATGGTCATAGTTGGTTTTGGAGTAACCTGGCTTGTTATGACTACATGGTCACTTGGTCCAATTGGTGGATGCTGTGGTACATCAAAAGCAAGCCTCTTGTCATTAACTAATAGCAGATCAAGTAGAGACTGTCAATTTCTTCTTATTCTGGTTGGAAAATTTACGAGTTGACAGTTATGTAGACAGTTATGAAATCTGAGCTAAGGTTCGTTTCACCAGGGTTCATACTTGACCTTGAAACTTGAAAAAAAAGGGTTGTCGTAGATTAATTCATATGACACATTCAATTTTTTTGACAAATTAAAATGAATGACGTCTGGTTAAGAACCGACGAACGTTTTTGACGTCATTGATTTGTTTCAGTCAATTTTTATTTGTTAAACAAGGAAGGCAAATGCTGGTGGCAAGTACAAACCCTGGCGAAACAAACTTTACGTGGATTCGTGGGATTGTCTGTTAATGTTGATCTCTGTGTAGTTGAATAATTATTTAGAATAAAACCTGCCTTACCTTGCGTTTTAGATCAGATTTTATGATGGACTTTACAACTATACCCTTGTTTTCTTTTTTCTTCACTGGACCCTTGCTGTCAACCTTGGCTGATTTAAGAACTGAAAAAAAAAATAACAAATTCAATAAACAATTTTATAAATGTTTATATTTTTTACATTTTGTCTCGGCGTGTTTTTTCAATATCATATCGTCAATCATCAAGTTGGTCAATTTGGCTATTTTAAAATTAATAGCGTCAGTGGTCAGTTCGGGAGGCTCCACTTTCAATTTTAGTTTCTTTTGCGCCTCGACTTCATATTGGACTTTCATGTGCAAATCGGCTTTTGGTTTTTTGGGTATCAAAGGGATTTCGTATATTTCTAATTTAGTTTTGTTAGTTGCTGACTTTGGTTTTTCCATTTTCGATTTGATTAATTTCGTTTCAGATTTTGCTAATTTTATTTTGTTTATTTTTTCTAAGCCTTCTTTGATTTTTTTGTGTTCTATAGTGTCTAATGGTTCCTTAATTAATACCAATTCTGTTTCAATATTTCTCACGGTTTTATTTAAAATTTTGTTTTTCATATCTTGTTGTAGCTGTTGTAGACTTTTCTCAGTCTTTACTATATTTTTCTCAGTCTTTACCATATTTTTCTCAGTGTTTACTATATTATTCTCAGTGTGTAGATTTTTCTCAATCTTTGCCTTGTTTTTTATATCTTGTAGCTTTTGTATATTTTTCTCAGTCTTTACCATATTTTTCTCAGTGTTTACTATATTATTCTCAGTGTGTAGATTTTTCTCAGTCTTTGCCTTGTTTTTTATATCTTGTAGCTTTTGCAGATTTTTCTCAGTCTTTACCATATTTTTCTCAGTATTTACTATATTTTTCTCAGTGTTTACTATATTTTTCTTACTGTTTACTATATTTTTCTCAGTGTTAACTATATTTTTCTCAGTGGTAAATATATTTTTCTCAGTGTTTACTATATCTTTCTCAGTGTTTACTATATTTTGCTGATAAATTATTTCCAACGTTGGTTTCACTGCTACAGGCTCTTTCTGAATTGGATTTTTTCCAGATTTAGGTTTTTGAACCTTTGTTGTCTTCACGGTAGCATAATTTTTTTGGTATATTTGCATTTCAGTTTCTTTGAATAGTATTTCCTGATCGGAATGTTTTTTTGCTTGAAATCTATTTATAATTTCTTCAATTCCATAATAATTTCTTGTTTCTTTTCTATGGATTGTTTGTTTTTTATTTTCAACTGGCTTGTCGTTTATTTCTTGATTTGCCTTTTTTTGTATTTGCATTGAAAATTTTTCGGTTTTTTGATTAAAACCGTCAGATTTTTTTTTATTTATTTCTGAAACACTTTCGCGATTTTCTGTTCTGCTTTGCGTTTTTCTATCTCCATACATATTTTTATATGTCGACATTTCGGTTGCTGCAGTTTTTATCTCAAGAGGTTTGTTGCCTGCTTCGATTGAGAGTTTTTTCTTGTTTTCCTCTGCTTCAATTCTTTTAAATTCCAAATACTCTCTTTTAGACATCAGCCTGTTGAAGTCTCTGGATACACTTGAAGCGTAATGGTAACATCTTTTCCCTGTCAAGTCATTCTTTGATGAGGGATCTGGAAAAAAAGAAAAGCTTAAAGAATATTGAGGTACGTATGTACCTTAATATAATATTGTCAAGCCAAAAAATATCACCCTTCCCAACATTATTATTTTCAATACGAATTAACCAAATAAGTCCATTGACAAGTAATGTCCCAATTTAGTTGGGTAATACGGATGTTATATTAAATAAAGCAAACGCATCAGGATGATAGCAAAAACCTTAGAGCCAACAACCTAGGCTTTAGGTCAATGATTTTTGCTGGAAATCCTGAATCGATAAGGCGTGATTTTCGAGTTGGTTGTAAATCTAAATTCAGGCGCTGTACTATACTATGGGCTACGCTACGGTCTACAGAAAGATGGGTTTCCGGTAAGTACCGTTATTTAACATTTATAAATTATGTCTAGTGTTCTCATCTATTAATCAACCCTTTAGTTGTAATTAATAAACTTAATTATTCTTAATGTTTTGGGACTTATTGTTTTAATTCATCAAAACCCCAAAAGATCCCAAACCCCCAGTTGCAACAAAATAAGTTGTGACAATATGAACGAACCATTTTTAAGTTTTTTGTTACCCCAGGAGGCATTTCCACTGCTCGACTGAATCGGCTTGGCATCTTCTAGTTTACCAGTGCTGTATAACACTTTTGGCTTTCTGACCATTTCATCGGCTTGGGTATTTAAATCGGCAACCTTAAAGTTTATTGATTAATAATGAGTTTTTCTAATTAAAAAAAAAAACTTACACAATCTTTTTTCATTCTGGACGCTTTACGATAGGATTTCTCTGCTAATTCACTTTTATATTCGCTTCTTTGTATACCTTCCATTGTGTTTTTTTTCTCTAATTCAGATTCTTTCTTCTTTCTCAGCGAATATGAGTTTAGAAAGTTTTTCGTAGCATTATCTAAAAAGTTATATTCTGTAATTTGCATTGTGAAACTAATAATTATACCATTACTCACCCTCTTCTTCATAATATGCTGTCCTACTTTGCATAGTCGTAGGTCGCTTGTTTATATTAATAGTGTTTGTCCAGGCTTTAATTTCATTTTTCACAGCTTCTTTATTTATATGAGCTGGTTGCGGCTCGGTTTGTGGTCTATCACATCTCAAAACAGTATCATCTAATAAAGATTTTCTCGAGGGTACTTCTGCTGCAGGCTTAAGATATTTAAATTGCTTTTCAAGTTTTTTAATTCTTAACATTGAAGCCACTTTTGGTGTGGACTTCGATGTAACATTTCTCAGTGATTTTTGAATTATTTTTTTCTCCTCAATTTGTTGGGATTTTATGCGTTTTTCTAGATCTGCAATATTTTCTTTGGGAGATAATTGGATAGTTTCAATTTGATCTGCTAGCTTTGCAATATTTTCCTTGGGAGATTTTTGGATAGCTTCAATTTGCTTAATTTTTAGAGCTTTTGCATCCAAACTTTGACGTTTTTTGGCCAACTTTTCTTCGATAACTTTTAAAGCTAACGCATATTTCCTGTTCAACTGCATCATTTCTTCGTGTATATCATTTCCTGAGTTTTGCTTGACTTTTGAATCGCTTAAACTTCTTTTAATCGAACCTTTATTGAAGATTATAAGTTCTCGATCTTCCTGTGGTTCATCTAAAAAAGATAAATAAATGTATCAGTGTTCCTGTTTGGTTTCTGAAGGATTGCAATTGAAACACATCTCAAATCGGAAAACAGACCATATTACAATTTGCAATTTTTATATTTTAACGTAACTCTGATTTAAGTATTTTTATTATAATAATTTGTTTAATTTTGGTGCAGGCTTACCTGTCATGTAGAAATCTCGAACCTTCTGATTGGCGAGCTTTTGTATTTTAAATGTCAAATCAGCATCTTCCACTTTAACGAATATTGGGTCTGAAGTTGTTGCTCTAATCAGCTTTTTTTTAGGTGGATCGGCTTTTTTTATTGTGGAAAGCTTGCCAGAGGTTTTCAATTCAAATATTGACTTTCTATCTTTATCATCCTTTGCTTTTGTGACGTTTTTAATCAAGGGTTTTGTCTTACGGTTTCCTAGAATAAACAATATTATATTTGGTTCTAAACTAGGCCTCAGATTTGCTCAATTTTTGTCTTTGTCAACTTCTAAGCCTGAAATTTGGGCCAAATTTCTCATTTGTTTTGATGTGTGTGTACAGACCAAATGATAAAATATAGATGCTGGAAACTACAGGCCAATAAGCTTGCTACCCGTTGTAAGCAAAATCATGGAATCCATGGTCGCAGAAAATCTGAGAAATTTTCTTGAACAAGAACAATTAATTCCAACTTAACAACTTGGTTTTGTATCAAAACGGAGTACCACAAATTGGCTTCTTGATTGTCTAAATAAATGGCATAAAAAAAGTGCCATTAATGTCACATAGGTACTTGGATTTTATCAAAGCATTCAACCGAGTCCCAAGCCAGAGGTTTCTGCCAAAACTGGAAGATTTTGGTGTGGGGAAGAATTTAATGCTTACGACCAAAGACTATTTTACAAACAGGGAGTACAAAGTCATAGTTGGCGACTCATACTCTGAACTCTATTCAGTACAAAGTAGCCTACCCCAAGGCTCGATATTTGCACCTTTGTTGTTTGTAACTTATATTATAGATCGCCTCAACCTAATGATATCAACATGTGCCAACAATTCTGACTCGCTCCAGAATGATTTGAACCAAATTGAGAAGTGGTGTGAGGACTGGCAATTACCTCTTAGGCCCAGTTGTACAACATCGGTTCAAAACAGAGTTCAGCAGTTCAGCTGAACTCGACTGGTACCTACTTGAACTTTCCCATTTGAAATGTATTGCTGTCAAAATTGAAAGAATTTGAATAATAGCTGACAGCAATGTATTTTAAATGGGAAAGCTCAAGTACCAGTCGAGTTCAGTTGAACTTTGTTTTGAACCGAGATTGTACAACTGGGCCTTAATGTGGGAAAATGTTTGGTACTCCATCTTGGGAAAAATAGCTCAGAAACTGAATACACCACCAATGTGTCAGTACTGGTCAGTGTTCAGCAACACAATGACTTTGGAGTTCTGATAATCAAACACTTGACCTGGTCACTGGTCGGCACATTCATGTAACAACAACAACAATATGCAAAAAGAACAACAGCAAGTTATTCCTCCCATAGAAGGTCTTCCTAAACACCCCCCAATTTTTGAATATGCAGGTCAGGCTTGGCACCCAGTCCTCATTAGAGAAAGGAAGAACATGTCACCGACCTGAAAAAGTTTGTCGCCTTTGTATAAAGTAAATTTAAGTTCATTATTGAAATAAATAGTGTTAAATATTCCAACATTTTTGGTTTTTGTTGTCTTGATAAAAGCCCCACATTTTTGCCTTCGAGCCGGATGGTTCGAGGGTTTTTAAGGGCGTAATCTATATTTTCAGACAAAGAGGTTTTAGACAAGGGTTTAGATACCCAGAGGACCCGGATTCCGAACCCACGATTCGATAGTATCGTCCATATATAAAATAGATAGACGATACTATCGAATCGTGGGTTCGGAATCCGGGCCGGTACTACTGCTAAAATGGCTGATCTGGCCGAATTACAAAAAAAGGGGTATTATATAAGGGGCATTTAATAAGGCAGGATAATTTCATTATTAATTTTGATGGGTCAAAGGCAATTCAAAGGAGGCTGAAATTCCCATACGATTATCAATATCAATTAGATGACCGTTGGCAGGAATTTGAAGACATTCAATTTCAAATAGAGGAAAAGGACACCTCTCAAAAGCAATTAGACGAAAGTCAATCTTCAAGGGAAGGATCCAATATTTACTATCTGCCGCACCATCCAGTGCCTAAACAGACTTCCCTGACAACAAAGCTCCGCGTCGTATTCGATGCCAGCTGTACGATGGCTCAGAAGGGACATGAATATGTTTTATTGTATTAAATCTCGCACTGCCAGATTCAAATACGCACTGCTAGATTTTTATCTCGCACTGCTAGATGTAATCTCGCACTGTTAGATTTAAAGACGCAGTGCGAGATTTGATCTCGCACTGCCAGATTTAAAGACGCACTGCCAAATTTAAAGACGCGCCAACGAAATATCTGAATGTATGGTTCTTGGACATCCTCCGCATGTTTCCACAGATGTTAAAAAGAAACCAGATATAACCCGTGAATCATTATTTGTATAATTAGCTTTTAACCATATAATGTGACGTGAGTATATCCATCAATACAACCACTTATGGCAATACCGTAAGATTTTAATTTATCGTAACCATCTATATGCCACAAAAAGTTTGGCCCCTTATTGAAATATTGCATTCTTCACAGTCGTCGTCTGCTGCGCAAAAATACTCCCTCTGGATCTAATTCTTTCAGTAAGAGTCTTACTATATTTCAACGAACCACTAAACCAGCTTGCAGACATTTTAGATAGGTACATCCATCTATATCCATGATGTTGAGAGCTTGTCTCTAACTGGTTCCTGATAAAGTCCAATATTTCAGTTGGATTGGAGTAAGGTTTTCTTCTGTACAATTTTAAGTCCTTCAAAACACGTTTCAAGTGTCTGGCGCTAATGTCAATATAACTGGAATGGATGAACCCAAAAACCACGGCAAAAACTACCACCCTGAGTTGCAATAACGCTTATCTTGTAGCGGTAATTGATTTAAATCTGGCAGTGCTTCTTAAAATCTGACAGAGCAAGAATAAATCTGTCAGTGCGTCTTTAAATCTAGCAGTGCGAAAATAAATCTCGCAGTGCATCTTTAAATCTAGCAGGTCGTATTTGAATCTGGCAGTGCGAGATTTAATAAAATAAAACATAGACATGTCCCTTCTGAGCCATCGTATAGCTGTGTCACAAACAATGGTGTTTCCTTGAACAGTGTCCTAATAAATGGGCCCAAATTACAAGATGACATATTTGACATTCTTCTTCGTTTCAGGCAACATGCTATTGTGATTACTGCAGATGTGGAAAAATGTTTAGGCAGATCTGGATAGCGAATGAGGATAGGGATTTTCAGAAGGTTTTGTGGAGTTTTGGTCCCAACGAACCCATTGGGGTTTATAGGCTCAATACAATTACATATGGCATGACTTGTTCGAATTATTTAGCTGTAAAATGTTTGCAACAGCTCGCCATGTTTTCATCCAAAGATTTTTCTCGTGCTACCAGCGTTGTTCTCAAGGATTTTTAAATGGACGACTTGTTGACAGGGACTGACGACATTGAAACGGCATGGGATTAGTCAACTACTTGCCAAGGGAGGTTTTATTTTAGAGAAGTGCAATTCTAACAATCGGGGGGCTATTGAAAATGATCAGGGTCAAGATATAGAGCATTACATTGGTGGAGAAAACAAGGTTTCAAAAACTTTGGGCATTCGATGGAACTCCGTGACTGATACATTGCACTATGACTGAAGAATATGGTAATGATATCCCTTGTGGCGTATAGCCCCAATGATTGTCAAGACTAAGTTAATTATGCAGAAGTTATGGAAAAATAAATTGGAATGGGACGAAGAGGTTCCGGAGGATATTTTAGGTCAATGGATTGAGTTGAGGGAAGAATATAAGAGGATGGGGACATTTCAAATCAAGCGAGATGTTATATGCAAGAATCCTGAAAATGTTCAGCTCCATGGATTCTGTGATGCTTCGCAGAAAGCTTACGAAGCTTGCATTTTTGTTTGTATTGTTCGTGGGGAAGGGATATGCCATACCATGTCCAATTGCTCTGTTCAAAATCAAGGGTTGCTCTTCTCAAGGTCGTGTCGCTTCCTAGGCTTGAACGCTGCGGTGCGCTCTCATTGGCTAAACTCACAAAATCGTTTTGCAGTCAACTGAGTTAAAGGGTGGTGAAGTTAGGTATTGGTGTAACTCGTCCATTGTATTGCTTTGGTTAGCTGGAGAACCTTCAAATTGGACGACATTTGTGGCCAACAGGACAGCGGAAATTCAAACAATAACTGACGGTCAACATTGGGGTCATGTACCTATCAAAGATAATCCTGCGGATGTGGTGTCCAGGGGGTTGGATTGCGAAAATCTAAGGGAAACCAAGTTATGGTTGCTAGGACCAGACTGTTTATCATACGATGAAGAACATTGGCCATGGATGATAAGTTGAATATCGATGTAATCCCTGAGCAGTAAGCTATTCGTAAGGCATTCGCAGTTTCTAGATTTTGGACCAAAGGAAAAAACACGATAGATTTTTTTCGATATCCTACAGTTTGCAATAAACAATAATCAATTTAATTTTTCATGCAAGTACCCTATTGGCCCACCCTGTACAGAGAAAGGCAACACGATTGCAACTCGGTAGAAGAAGATCTACCTACATGTGAGGAAAGACTAGAACAACAAAAGCTGTTGAGCTTCCAAAATAGAAGAACAAGAGGAGATCTTATCTTCATCTACCAAACACTAAACAACGTTTAAACAGTTAGACACCTCTATGCCTTGAACCTTGAACACAGACCAGAGACTTCGGTGTCACACTCTCAAACTTAAAAATGAAAATTACTCTACTGTGTGTAGGGAGAACTTTCTACCAAACAGTCTTTGTCCTCTGGAATCAACTCCATATCGACTAGATAGTAATAATCTTTTATCGAACTGCAAATTTCAGCCCTGAAAGTTGTCAAAGACAAGAAACAAACTCTGAATCTCTCTCCACTTTCAACTTACCTGCTTTAGATATTATTTCTCTAGCATGTGCTGAGAATTTCTTGTAATGCGGCTCATTTTTACCTTCCGAAGATGGCAATTTTGGTAGAGTTATATTCAATACTGCTATCGGGCAATCTTGGCACAAATTACAGTCAGCCGAACAAAGACCTTCATTTTTATTTTTAGCCAAAAATACACTAGCTGGTTTTAATTCTGATAGAATATTCACATTCGCATCCTCGTTTTTGGATTCTTCCAATTTGTCTCTTTCCAATAATTCTTGTTTCAATTTGTTTGTCTCTGGAGTTTGATTTTTATTTATTATGTCCTGATTGACCGCTAGTAATTGTTTAACCCCAATCACCCATCCATCTTCTACAAAAGAAGCTTCCGATTGTTCAGGTTTGAAATTGTTTTCAATGTTAATATCTTTATTAATTTTGGACTCCGCATCGTGTAATAATTGGATACTTTGACTTTCAGTTGACTTGTGCATATTTGATTCATCGATAATTGGTTTTTCTTCTGAAGCAGCTGCATTGTTGTTTTGAGGGGAAGCTTCAGCATTCAAAATGGATTTTGTTTGGTTAATAGAAAAAGGCTCGAATTCTGAGGATTTTTTTTGCACTGAAAAATTACCACATTGATCAGCTTCAAACTTTTTGCTAATAGGCTCTATAGCTGAAAAAACGTCTCTCAGTTTTGAGGGGACTTGGGTGGATTCTAAAAATATTAAAAATTAAAACGAGATTTTTAATACAATCGCAAACTAACCTAGTGGAACATTTTTCTCGAGGTTATTGCTGCTGATATTTTGTGTTGACCAACTGGAAAATTTTGTTTTCGATTCGGTCATTCCTAATAATATAATACAATTATTGTTAGCTAAATTGAATAGAAATCAATAGTGATGTGGCGAGACGAGACGAGAATACGCTCTCTCTTGTGTTGTCTCGAAGGTTCGAAAGAACATGAGTCTCTCTCCTCGATGAGAGACCCTCGATACGAGACGAGAGAGCTCTTCTCTCGTCACATTTTTTAATTAGGTTTTTTGGTGGAACTAAAGTAAACTTCATTTCCCGTTGAATATCTTAATTTTGAGCTATGATACTATAGAAAAACAACATAAATTACCAGGTTTTGTATTATCACTATCCTTTGGTGGGCAACTAGAAGCTCTTTTGCTAGACTTGGCACTTTCATAGCTTTGCATAATTAATAGCATTGTTTTTCTCTTGGCTGCCGGGCAATTGATTTCTTCATTAGTCGAAAAATCGTGTTCTTAAAATTTTTGCGAAAATTATGGTTGATAAATTATTTAAGAAAACTGATTACTTGCCATGGTTTGGACACCCGGAAACTTCTGGATTTTGAATTGTAGATGTTTTTTTTGGTGGAATTGGGTTAGTGGGTGCTTTTTTAGTAGGAATTTGGTTTGTGGATGCAATATTTGGGTTGCTATACGTCTTTTTCGTTAAATATTGGTTTTTCCATTGAACAGGAACTTGCCTATTGGTTGTTTGCTTTATTGAATTCTGAGCAGATAATGGTCGTTGACTGGAAACCGTTTTACTTATGCTACTTTTTGAATCATCTACTTGTTTTTCCAGAGCAGCTTTTCCATTAGCAAAAATGCCAGGTTTGCGATAAATTATTTTTGTGTTCAGTTTTGGTTCTTGGGCAAAAACAAATTGTTGTATTTTTGTATTTTTTGGTTTACTTTCCGTAATAGTATTGAAAACACTAGCGGTACTATGGAGTAAACTTAAATCTTCATAATTGTCAAATGTTGTTTCAACTTTTTTCTCAACTTTTGCTTCAACATCTTGTAGAGTGCCTTCTTCCATTGTATCTTTCTTGGGTTTCTCAAGCTCTAAAGGTTTGGGTTTCCCAAGCTCTAAAGGTTTGGGTTTCTCAAGCTCTAAAGGTTTGGGGTTCTCAAGCTCTAAAGGTTTGGGTTTCTCAAGCTCTAAAGGTCTATTGATTTTATTAATAACATATCCATTATCTGGTAATAGGATATTGCCGACTTTTAAATTATCCCTTCTGATTAAGTAGTCTTTCACAATCGATTCCTCGTCCAAAGAGGGTAGTTTATTCGTGTTTCCAGGCGAATCATTGGTCAATAATTTGGACGAAACTAAAATCAGTTAGTTGCGTTACTTATTTAATTTTTTAAATTTGATTTTCCACATACCTGATTCTACTCTAAGTACTTGATTAGCTTGTGTGATGTTTCCAGAAACTTGTTTTTCACCAACTTTATCATTATCAGGTTCTTTTGAAATGGATGCACCCGTAGAAGTTTTTCTGGGTGGCATAATCATGTCCTGGAGCTCTCTCGGTCTGGGATCACCCTTTATGTTTTTATTCTTTTTATCTTTATCTAAGGAGGAATCAAAAATCTGAATAAATAAGTTTAAATATATTTTTTACAAAAAAAAAACAAGTTCTCTTTTAATTAGTTAGATGGTGAATGGCGGGCGGTTTTATTTATGATGTTTATTTCCTTGGGCAGCTACTAATAAAATTGTGGAGGGGGTTTATTCGCAAATGAGAGAAACAACTATATTAACGTTTACACAATTATACTTTATTTTACTTAAATAATCAAAACCCAATTTACCAGTACAAAGTAAAAAAAACTAATATTATCTCAAATTCTCACAGCCACCTCTATGTTTGCTGATTCAATTTACTACAACACTTTTCAATATTCAACATCCTACAAGATTCTTCCTTTATTCTTCGCAACTTGAATTATTCTTTTTATAAAGCCCTACTTCGATGCACTCGATATCTTATAATCAAATCATTTACTCTTCTACACAATTCCAACTGGATTCGATACATATTTTAAATAAACTACCATTACCTTTAATTATAAATTTTGTAGACCCCTGGAGTCATTTACTGACAAATTTATGCAAAACAGTTATTTATAATCATGAACCTAGTCAGTTTAATTATTACAAATATTATTTTAAATAAATCCTTTCAATAAATCCAATTGATTAAACTTATAATCAAAAATTCAGCAATTTAGACAACCATCTTACTTCAAGGACAAAACATTTTAATTAAAACTTTTCACTACTTTTAAAGATTAAAACTTTTACTATTAAGGATCATATACTTAACCAGAACAATATTATCTTTCAAATTCCAGGTCAACATTACACAATTTATTTAAATTCTTTTATGTCCGATTGACCAATAAAGTGCTATTTATTGAATAGTTTTGCGTCAATAAAGTAGCACTTTATTTTACTGTAAAATAAAGTGCTACTTTATTGCCTACCTGGACTACCTGACAACCTGCCAAGGTGAAACTGGTATACTCCAATTTTAATTTTTTCATGCAATTTTTTTAATTTGTAATAAAAACCAGTCCCAATCGTACATAAAATCATTTTTCTCCGAACGTCAAAAAAACGTCACTTTGTTAACCCCTGTCAAGATGTCAGAAATTTAATTTCTATGCTGCTAGGCAAATCCAGCGGGTTAACACCTTACGAGGTGGTAGAAATTTAATTTCTATGCTGCTTGGCAACCCCAGCGGCAGCAAAAGTACTTTTAGTGCCGCTGGAGCGGCAGTAGAAGTACTTTTAGTGCCGCTGGAGCGGCAGTAGAAGTACTTTTAGTGCCGCTGGAGCGGCAGTAGAAGTACTTTTAGTGCCGCTCGTACTTTTACTGCCGCTTAGCCATTCAGTTACCCTCGAGCTTACCTCATTCGTTTGGAGAAAAAATAGCGTGTTGCATACGGTGTCAATCAATAGTCAAATTCAATTCAATAAATTCATTCTACTAATCGGAAATCGTTAGTTGCATTATAATTTCCTATTTAAACTCTTAGCAAAAATATTCAGATGTCATTTCACTCAAAGTCAATTAAATTTTTGCAATAATGTTCCATAGTCATTTCACATTCATAGTCATTGAAATTATTTTCAAATAAAAATCTTTTTATTTTATATGTACTTACTATAATAATTGCCATTAATTCACTACACTGTTTCTATCAAAGTATTTTTGTTTTAATTGCTTAGCACGCACAAAATCGACTAAAAGATTTGAATTTACTTCTAACTTCTGAACTTGTCAATAAAGTCAATTAAAACGCGCATTTAATTTGGGCTCGAGGCAGAAATGAAGAAAATAACTTTTTGGAGGAGACTCAAATCACTGCCAATTTCTTCTGTTCTCTACTAACTTACTATGAATCAACTGCTGATTCTACTTCTAAATGTAAATGTAATTCTTAATTCTTAATTTTTAATTGCCTCTTCCTCTTATTGTAATCTGTTTAAATATCATTCGATCCCACCATAAATCTCCTAAGGTTATCTCCGCAATGACCCCTCCACCTGCGTGTCCCAATTTAGTATTTATCGGAGTAATTTTGCAAGAATTTTGATTCCGTTTCCGCTAATCAAAAACGCCGACAGCGCGTGTACACAATTAAACAAGTTATGGCCATTTGCACGGCTATCACTTAAGGGATATTTAATCTAAGTGAGCTTTGAATATGACTTTTGTTTCTACAAGAGTCACATTCAAAACTCCACTTGGATTAAATATCCCTTAAGTTATAGCGGTGCAAATGGTCGTTAGCCTGGTAATTGATGTCGTTAGGTGTTTAGATTTATGAGTTTATTTAAAGGGTCAAGAATCTCGTGTCTGCTCCGGTTGCGTAATTATTTCATTCGGACCGCCTTCGGTAAAGATAACTGATGACTATAGAGGGGGGTCCATATAATAATTGTTAGATTAGATTTTAACCTTTATCGCTGGCTTGAGCAGCGGAACAGATAACTCCAATTGAGACTATTGAGAGTATTTTATTTCCTTTATTTCTTTCCAATGGCCCTCTTTGTGGGATCTTTACACAAATATCTTCCAAAAACATCAAAAATCCAAACCAAAAATTCAATTGTCTATCTATTAGCCGGATTTTTGCCAACCCTGATTAAAACTGACAATATACTTACCAATTTGTGGCCTATAACTTGGCGGCGGTACCCTAGGCATATTCTCGGCGTTCTTCTGAGTATTCTGCGCCTTGATGATTTCTTTCAATTCGCCAATTTTCTGCAACATTATGTCGATTTTGATTCGGGTATTCTGATGTTCTTCAGAATCATATTTGGCGTTTCCTGAGTCTATCAGTTGGGCCTGTTTTGATTCCAAGATTACAATTTCGTCACCAGGTTTCAACAATACACCGTCATCGATGTTGGATTCTTCGATAATTACATCAGTGGTTTTTATTTCTTTTGTATCGTCAACTACAGGTTTTTCGGTCAAGTTTGTTTGTCTCTTTACAGTCGGATAGATGGTTTGAGGTGAAACCGTATCGGTTAGATTATCGTCTATTTCTTCTTTTGAAGGTTCTGGATGTGATGCTATATCCTCCACATTACCAGTATCTTTTTTGCCAGTCTCTGGCAAAATGTGTGCAATTATTTTTGTTTTACTTGGATCCGGTTCATACTTTTGCCTCCAATATGACCCCTCCAAGGCACTTTTATCTTGTATGCGTTTCAATTCGTCTTCTACAATCCTCGCTGTGCTTTTTTTGAATTCCTTTTTACGATTCAACTGTTCCACTGTAAAACTTTGACTTTTTCGATGCCTCTTGTTTTTGTTAATCAATTTTTCAGCAATGGTATTTATTTCGTCGTATCTAATTTCTTTAAGACCAGTAGGTTTTTCTTTCAATTTCGGAGCTTTACCGTCTTGCGTATCCAAAACTATTTCGAGCTCTTCAATTTTTCTTTTAAATTGTTTTGCTATTTCAACCTTTTCTTCTAAACGATGCTCACTTTTATCGTATCTAGGTTGTATTTCCAACGAGGACGTTTTATCTCTAACACTATTACGTTGTTTTTGGTCTTCTTTTCTTAGTTTACGTCTGATGAATTTTTGTTCGGCCGCTTTTGCTCTGTCATTCAATTTTTCCACTTCGTTCCCTTCATCCAAAGGTTGCATCATAATGGGAACAATAACATTAGGTTCGATAATTTTAATTTGATTTTTCATTAATTCATCGACAATTAAGGGTTTTGGAGGTTTATCTTCTGAGGTCAAAGGTAAAAGAGGAGTAGGTTCAGCTAATTTTTTTTCAGGACCCATCATTTTTGGATCAGCAATTTTTGCTGGGTCATTAGGATGATTACCACATCGAATAACTCTTTGCTCAGGTTGTCTACAATTTATTCTCTGCTTATCAATATTAATATTTTCAAATGGATTTAATTGTAATTTTTGCATTTCTGACAAATTCATCAAATGTTCTTGTTTTAATTCTACAAGTTTATTATTGGAATTCTTATCAGTGATTTCACTTTTCATTTTTCCTATAAAGTATGATAAATCTTTGGCTTCTTGTTCGACTTGCTGGTAATTTGGTTTGGAATTTTCCCTAACAAGTTTGCACTTTGCAGATTGTTGTTTTTGAACGCGTTTTGGTACTTTTTGAGCTTCTTCGTTAAGTTTTTTGTAGTTTGGGCTTGGAGCTGCTTTAGCGTATTCCCTAGAGACAATTCCTAGAAGAAATGAAGGAGATAATTCCAACGTTCCAGAATAACAAGTGACCTATAGTTTACCTGAACCAATTTTGGTGGCTGTTTCTTTTATGCAAACCTTATCTATGTCAAAATGATTGCCATCGTCGAACCTCATAGTTTTGGCATATCTAACATCTGCAACTTCTTGTGCGTTGGACATTCGGGGATACTTTGTAATGATTTCTTTATCTAAAATAGAAATTTTAACTCATAAATTTTACCTGTTATAGATAATTATTGTACTTTTTGAAAAGTGACTTTTATTCTTTTGTATGAAGCAGGAAATTTGATTTTTAACAGTCAGTTTTGTTCGCGATTACCAATGATGCAAATAATATTGAGGCCACAATCTGGCCCAAACTAGAAGTCTTTTGAAGGAGAGAATTAAGTACCTACTCAATTTTCGAAGAATTAGAAATTGAGAAGAAAGGAAATGGACCTCACCAAGTATGAATATAACGAATTTTCAAAATATATAATAAGAAGTTATGAACATTTGATTTCATTTTACCTTGAGTTGCTTGTTCAATTTCTCCAACCTCGTTTGGATGTATTTCTTCAACGTTTTCTTCAGCTTTACACGATTTTGATTCTTCTAATTTTGTTAATTTCTTATCCATTTCATCGTTAGTTTCCTTATTTGTTGGAGGTGTTTGTCGTTTTTTACCGTGATTGATCAAAAGTTGCATAAATTGGTTCTTCAACTTCATTTTCACCTCTTTGTTAGGGGGGTGTTCGATGGACGGATGGGTTTTTATCAGGCCTTCGATTTCTTCGACGACTTTCTTGGCTTCTAACGCTTCTGAAAATTACATTATTGTTTAGTTACCTATAAAGTATATAGGAAATCCAGGCAGCATACTCTGGCGTCTAAATGGCGTCATTTTAGAGTCAATTTTCGTCGGCGACGTCATCTTACCGAAATATGACGTGATATTCAAGAGCCAGTAATGATCAAAATTTAAATTATTACCGGCACCTGATTTTCTCTGGAGAAAGTTTTCTAGCGATTCTTCAAACGTAGTTAATAATAGAAATTTTTATCCATTTTGGCTATTGATTTCTTTCAAATATTTGGAGATATTCTCTAATCATTCAAGAGCCAATAATGATCAAAATTTAAATTATTCTCGGCTCTTGATTTCCTCTGTAAAAATTTTCTAGTGATTCAAACGCCGGTAATAATAAAAAATTGCACCGCTTTGTCTTTGTGGCTCTTGACTTCTTTTAAGTTGTATAAGCTAGTAAATTCTATTTGGAAACCAAGTAACCAAGGGAGATATCGAACTTGTGACTTCACCGACATATTTGATACATCAATCGTCATTCAGAAAAAGAATTTCGAGGAATTTCGGGAAAATTCTAGATCATTTTATTGGGAAACCAAAAGAGATATCGGATTTGTGACTTCATCGACGTGTTTGGAACTCCAATCAAAAACCAGAAAAGTTATAGAACATTCTGTATATGCCTATTACGAGACAACAAGCAAAAATGGAAGAACAAAAAATTGAAAAACTTCTGCGCATAATGTTGGAACTTCAAGAGACCAAACGACAACAAGAAGAACAAGACGAAGAAGCTAAACAACAAGACGAAGCTAGGAGATAAATAGAAAAACAAGAAGAAGAAGCTAGACGACAACAAGAAGAGGCTCGGCGACAACAAGAACGGCAAGAAGACATTGGACAACTGCAGAAAATATTTCAAACCATACAAGGATCTATCGCTAACTTGGAACAAAAGATTAAGGAAGTTAAAGCCGCAGTTAAAGAAGGTGTTCAAGAAGTTAAAGAGGATGTTCAAGAAGTAAAAGACAATGTTCAAAAAGTTAGAGACGATGTTCTGCAATTAAGACAAGAAGTTGAGGACCAAGTTCAAGCACTTGAAGATAAGATGAATAAATTAGAAATACAGTCCATCAATCCAGGTAGTGTTGGAGCATTCTCTAAGTAGTATGTAGATAAAATCACCAACTTTCGACGGTTCTACGTCCTGGACCATATATATCCGACAATTTGAAGCCGCTGCAAACACCAACGAATGGAACAATCAAGAAAAAGCTACAGCACTGATAGTGGCGCTACGAGGACCTGCCTTAGATCTTCTTCTGTCCATTCCTCCAATCTACCAACAGAATTACCAGCATCTAAGTCAGATATTAGAATTGCGCTACGGAGACCATTTCAGATAAGAAGTATTTAGAATTAAAGTTAAATCAAGAATTCAGAAACCCGGCGAGAGTTTACAAGAATTCGAATCGGAAGTTAAAAGGCTAGTGAGTTTGGCGTTTCCTGCAGCTGGAGAAGACATGCAGGAATGGATGGCAGTATCTGCATTCATTGATAGCCTCACAGATTGCAAGATCCAAGAAAACCGGAGAATGTCGTAATTCAGACAAAGTAGCGAAGCGAGCATTGGAACTGGAAGCAATCCTTGGTGCTTCCACGACCCAGAATTCGAGCAGTGTCTATTGAAGACCCAAAGGATAAACAATCGTCAAAAGAAGATGGTAGATTCAAGAATGTTATAAGTAACTTCATGGAGAAAATGGAGAAACAATTACTAGAAGGTAGACAAACAGGAAACGACTCCAGACAAACACCAACACCGAGAAACCGAGTAGAATGTTACCGATGTCATAAGCTTGGATATAATATGCAATGGGATTGTAGAATAAGGATGTCCTCTCCATTTAGGGATCGTTCCCAATGTTTTTCAAGATCTAGAGATGAGATCATTCAAGACCTGTGCGTGGACTGACTCATTCACATAAACCTTGAACATGAAATAAGAAATTGAAAAATGTATTAACTATAACTATTTTTTTAAAAGTTGAACGCAAGTTTTTAGAGTCAATCGAAGTAAGATTGAAATTTGAAGAACAACAAAACCTAAAAGCTACCTAGGTATACCAAAATAAAAATAAAATAAAGATTCCCCATACTACAAAAAAGGGAGACATAAAGAAAGAAAGAAAAAATCATATTAAAAGTAAAAATTAAACAAATTAAAAAAAAAAAAAATCCAAACATAGGATTGACATGTCTATAAAATCACGAGTTTGTTTGCGGGGTAGAGATAGTAGCCATTTTCTTGCAAGATTTTTGAAACATGAATAGTTATTTACGTTTTTGATATTTTCTGGAACTAACACATATGTATGAGAAGCTAAAGAGGAAAATAATCTTTGTCCAATAGTTTTTTTGGTACTTGAGGTTCTAGTTTGTGTTGTTTTTCTATATCTTTTTAGTATTATATTGATAATAAATTTGCTGCAGTTTGCTTTTATTATTTTTATATTGCAAACTAATGATTTTGAAATAATAGATAAGGCTTAGATCCATTAATCCACTTTCTTGAAAGAGCAAATCGCTAGAATAGGTTACCTATTTTACATAAGCGTTGTGAATATTTTCTGTATGACTTGTAGCTTAGCCAGATGGTATTTATAAGCTCCACCCCAAACACATAAGCCGTATTGTAAAACTAAATAAATTAAAGAGAAGTAAACTATTTACAAATTTTCTTTTGAGAGTATCTACATTTTTTGTTTAGAACTATTCGTCGCCCTAGTTGTGAATGGTCGTAATCCACAATTTTTGTTTTTGGTGAAAACATTCTTTTTAATTAGCAAATATACTATAACAAGGTCAAACATTGATCAGTGGCTTAGATCTATTCATCAACATGAAATTTAAACATTTTTAAATACCTATGTTAACAGAGAGGTTAACAGTCACAACTCAAGATTGAACATTTTGTGGATTACGACCATTCACAACTAGGGCGACGTATTACGGTCCCATTTCAAGAATCTGTCAATTTGTACGCCTAGATATTTAACATAATCAACCCCTTCAATCGTGATATCTTGTGGATGCTGCTTTAATACAATTTCTTTAAAATATGGCACTCTCTTTCGATTGCAACTAAAAGCTATGAAGTTGGTTTTTTCGAAATTGATTGTAACCAACATACTGTCAAACCAGTTTTTCAGTATTCCCAAATCTCCTTCAGCACATTCCTTTACCTGTTTCCAAACATCTCCAGTGTATAACACCACAGTGTCGTCGGCGAAGGCGGAAGAAGAACCAACACTTCCTAAACTAAACTCATTCATATAAACCCAGCACCATACCGTGAGGCACACCGTTTTCTAATTTTCTTGGCTCACTGAAAGTTTCCGATGCTCTAACATACTGCATTCGGTTTCCGGAAAACCGAATGCAGTATGGTTTTCCGAATAGCTTTTCATTAAATTTTGAGGTATCCCTCTAAAGCCAATCTGATTGAGTACCTGTATCAGGGTTGTATGATTTACTGTATCAAAGGCTTTTGCCACACACTTACTTTTATCTAAATTTGTATACCTATACATCATCCGTTAAGTAAATAAGCGCATCCTCTGTTGAAAGTCAAAATTGTTTATTGGACAGCAAACTAAATAGGTATATTAATCCAGATAATTAACCATTCGTCTTTTAACCATTTTTTCCACCACTTTGGCCACACTTGATATTAGTGATACGGGTCTGTAATAGGAATGTTCACTATTTTTCAATTGTAATAAAAAGTGGTGGTTCTAGGTCCACAAAACACGTATTAAACGTTAAAACAGCTAGAAACCCTTAATTTTTTCTAATAAATCGAAAACAAAAAAACGAAATTAGCGAGGCTAGCAAAACGACCCCTTGCGGCGAGAGTATCGCTTGTGACGTCACGTTGCGGAATTATTTACGATATAAAAATTGCCTACAATGTATTTGTCTCTCTTTCGCTCATTGTGAAAAGTATTTGGACAATTAATAGAGCTCACTATTCAGGGTGCTTCCTAACATTCAATCACCAATTAGTTCATCAGTATCTTTATCTAAATGCATATGAAAGAAAAAGACACTAATAGTAATAATAATATTAATATTTTTTATTGCCAACAAAAATCGCCGAAGCAACGTCACAAAAGGCTGATCGACGTAGAAAGTAGCGCCACTGTACTTGCGCGCGCTAACTCATTACACATTATGACGTCAGCGAGCGTTTCTTGCTTTTAAACGAATATTGATATTTCGTCTCCGTTTTTCTCATAGAAAGAACTTTCTGATTTTCGTAAAATTTTGTAAATTTACTTAAGAAACGATGCTTAATAATTTGATGATTGTTAAACGAGATTTTTTATTTTGTGAACATCCCTATTAGTCATATCGCAAGAATAGGCTCGTACAGCATATTTTTTTTATTACATATTCTAAAAGAGCGTGTTGAGTTTATCAGTTATGCAAAATTTCATAATTTTCTGAGCCTTTGTTCATATTTAAATAAATTATCAAAGTACTCCAAATTTTAAACACGCGGTGACGTCACTGCATCCCTCACGTCGGTCGTCGCAGTGCTGGTACGCCAGTCACTTCGACAATACGGGCATTGTTTTCACAAATTTTGGTTTGGCATTTTGGCATCGTTTAGACAAGTTTTAGTTTTGCATTTTATGTATCTGGAAGAGGCTTGGAAGAAAAACATCTTCCAAATCACATTTCATATATTTGAATATTTGAATAATTCCCTGAGTTTCAATATTTTATAAGCACAATTATGGAAGTAGCATGCAAAAAGAAAAACTTAAAATATTGTATAGTTTCGCAAACTGTGTGCCAAACTGTCAATAGAAAATCAGTTGACATTGCGTTATGCAAAACCGTGTATGACAGCCTTTAGCCTGTCTCGGTCTCGACTCGAGAGATGCTATGACGTCACAGCAATGAATTTCCGAGGCATAACTGTTTTAATATTAAAAAACGCGTAACTTTTCTAATATTTATCCAATTGAGCTGAATTTTTTTCTATGTTATATATGTGAGTAATACTCCATAAAAATGTGAAAAACCGCGTTAAATTTTTTTATTGAACGAGCCTATTGCCTTTTTTAAGAGTGGGTGTTACAGCTCCAATTTTGAGAATTGCTGGGAAAGTGCCTTCTTGAATTATTTTGTTTATAAGGTGACCAGAGGGTTGCTTTATATAGGGTGTTTGGCGGAGGGTTAGCCAAACTTGGTGGGCGTATAGATAGGCCCATTTCGAAGATATTTTATTATTACACTTGTGGCCTTAATTCTCCCTTTTTTTATCATGTCTTTCGTATTGTTCTCAAGAATTGTTAAAAATGGACCTTTTAACTTGTAAACTTTTTTTTTAATTATTATTAAAATGCTTTTTTCTACAAACGTCACTAAAAGTGTCATTTTTAACGGATGCTGTCAGTGTCTAAAATGCCATTTTATGACACTGGTGCTAAAAGTGATTACTTTTAGCACTAGTGCTAAAAGCAATCACTTCTAGCACTGATCAGAAAATATAAAAACATAGGAAATTTTATATCAAAGTAAAATATTTATTTAATTAAATTAAAATTAGCGAAACTGCAATTAGAATAAGAAACTCCATGGCCAATCTCATTGGTAGCAAATACTGAATTTATTTTGGTAAAACTTGTACCAGGAGAGTAAAGAGCAATGTTATTCTCCGAACTTTTGGGCAGAATTTGATCCGCAATGTTCTTTTGTATGAAAACTCGTACTGTTGCTTTGACTTGCTAGGCAATAATTCGAAAGTAGCTTTATTGGCAGCTTCTTCAATTTCCGCCGGGAGAAATTCATTGTCTTGATCACTTTCCATCGCCCAGAAAATAAACTACAATGAAACTGGATGAAACCACGCAAAAACCAAAAATTGTGCAGAAACCGTAAGCAAAAATTCGTGATTATTTGACGTTATTAATCAACAATGACAAACAGAGATGACAAATAAAAATAAACAAATTCGTTTTTTTTTTTTTGCCAGCAACCTATTTCATCAATAAATTAGATGAAAGATTTGAAATTGAGGATTTCAAGGATGCGTTAATTTGGACTTTTAAACAGTGTTTGTAGAAAAAATAGTGTATGATATTCGTGCTAAAAGTGACATTTTATTTTGTGAAAAGGGAAGTTTGGGACACGACGCCGAAGGCGGAGTGTTCCATCCCTTTGAACACACTTATATCATAAATAACTATTTCCGTGTGTTTTTGGTCTGTAGGGTATCCTTGATCTTGATGACGATCTGATTGACAGAAGTTAAAAGATCCATTTTTGAAAATTCTTGAGAATAATACAAAAGCAACGATATAAAAAAACGGGGACCTTGGGCACTAGTGTATCATTAAAATATCTTCGAAATGTAAATCTGTCCTATCTATACACCCACCAAGTTTGGCTAACCCTCCGCCAAACATCCTGTATATTGAGAGAGTATTCTTAGGTGTTCATTTGGATCAGTAGGAATTAAAAAAATAGAATGTCCTACTTCATGGCGATTTCTGGGTTGGGAATTTTGTGTATTTATTTTGTTTGCTAGGTTTTTACCCAATAGGCAATTTTTTTTATTGCTGATTTCGTTTGTCATTGAAAAATAAGTCAACACGTGTTTTTTCTTTTGCCTGTTAGGCAAAAATTGACGGAGATACAACGCTTTATTTTTGATATCTTATGACGTCACTCCATGCTGAGTATATCTATATATACAAAACTTAATCTTTTTATAACTTTCGGAATATTCATATTTGGACAAAATAAAAAAATACGTATAGATTTTTTTCCGATTTCCTACAGTTCGCAATAAACAGTTATCAATTTAATTTTTCATGCAAGGTGCCTATTCTGAAAAGTACTTGTTGAAAGAATTTGCTATGTCAATTTTGTTCTTGATAACCCCCTTCCGAATGTATTTCGCAGATGTCATTTTTCCCTCTGTTTTTACCTGTAAACTATTTATGGATTTCCATAAGGATCTACTGTCTCTCCTGTTTCTGTTTATTGATAATTCAAAGTAATCTGATTTGGCTCTTAATATTAGTTTACTTAATTCTCTTTCATAATTTTTGTATCTCGTTTCTTTATCAGTCTTTCCATTGTCGCTCCTATGTGCCCTATACAATTTTTGTTTATTTTCTACAGATTTCATTAGGCCCAAGGTTATCGAAAAGTGTCTTTTTTTAAATTTGGTTTCATATTTTACTTCTGTTGTAGCATTTTGTAGCAAGTTCCAATCCTTTATTTATTTTGTCCACAAAACAGGTTGTACCTTCATCTACACTTGTGCATTCGTAAATATTCTTCCAGTTTTCATTTTGAATATAATTTAATAGCTTTCGTTTATCTGTTTTAACCCTTTTAAGTATATTAACCTCTGTTGACTTTCCTCCCCCATTTCTAAAACAGCAGCAACAGGAAAATGGTCGGTTATATCTGTGTATATTATAAACGATTTTATGTTTACGTGCTTTCTACCTTTAAGAAATACATGGTCAATACATGATTCTGAGTTTTTTGAACTCTTGTAGATTTATTACTTAAAACCTAATTCGTTTAGATAGATGAGGTGATTTTAAGAAAATTCTTTATTTGACTTTATATCAATGTTAATATATCCAACAAAATAGTGAAAGTTAACATTTCTTTTTCTATGTCCTTCAAAGGACAGTCTTAAATTATTAACAAAATCATAAGCGCAGGTTGCAGGCGATCGGTAAACAGCATGTGCTGGCAAGTGGCAATACACAAAGATGACAAAGAGAAAAGTGCCTTCAGTACCGGAAGCGGGTTATACCAGTTTAACGTAATGCCTTTCGGATTCTGTAATGCTCCAGCTACATTTGAGCAACTGATGCATCTTATTTTACGACGCCTTACATGGAGAACTTGCCTAGTATATTGAGATGATGTCATGATCATGGGAAATTCTATTCAAGAACATCTCAATAGCCTGAAAGAAGTTTTTGACCGCTTCCGGAATGCCAACTTGAAACTCAATCCAAATAAGTGTTTTCTATTTCAAAAGAAAGTGGAATTCTTAGGTCACGTGGTATCTGAAGATGGCATTGAAGTTATGGCAGAAAAGATAGAAGCTGTCAGGGATTGGCCAAAATCAAGCGTCAAACATGAACTTAGGAGTTTTTTAGAATTATGTTCTTATTATCGAATAAGGATTCGCTAATATAGCTGCTCCGCTTCATCGATTAACGGAAGGAAAATCAACATTTCATTGGACCCAAGAATGCGTTTCCGCTCTTAGAAAATTGAAAGGAGCATTATGTACAAGCCCAGTGTTGTCCTATCCTGATCAGAAAGGCATGTTGATTTTAGGCACAGATGCAAGAAACCCAGTAGTGGAGTTGTCCTTTCACAAATCCAAGAAAGAAAATTTGTGAGATCATGGGCATTCAAGAGAAGGACCACACCTTTACATTCACAGTCTGATGGCATGGTAGAACAATTTAATAAGACCATAGAGGAACACCTGCCAGAAGTGGTCGCAAAAAACCAGCGAGACTAGGACAAAAATTCGCCTCTATTTTTAATGGCTTACAGAGCAGCTGTTCACGAGTCAACAGGTGAAAGTCCAGCTAGAATCGTTTTTGGAAGGAAAATCAGGTTACCATGCGATCTGATGTTTGGAATACCTGAAGAAGAACGAAAAGAAATTCGGGATTATGCCGACGGAGTAGGGGCATGACTTATGGGGATACATGATTTTGCTCGGGAGCATATCCAGCTGGCCAGTGACCGAATGAAGACCAGTGGCCCAATTCTTGAAAAATTACGCATGCGAAATTTTGATGTGATTTCGAATACTTTCTATCTAATTTACATTGCTGTCATTCGAATTCGAAACAAATTTCGTATGCGAGAATATTCAAGAATTGACCCCCAGATACGACTTGAAAGCCAATTCAGCCGGATTTCAAGAAGATGATCCAGTGTAGCTGTATAATCCAACAAGAAAGAAAGGAGTGTCGCCGAAGTTGTCTTCAGCATGGGAAGGACCGTAAAAATCAAGAGGATAAATGATTTGGTTTATCGAGCTCAGCGCAACACCAGGAGTAAGATGAAAGTTATACATTTGGATATCATGGGCGTGAAGTTGATCGAGACGATCAGCCTTAAGAGGAGGGCAGTGTCGCGGTGCTAGAAAATACTATCTTATTCGGGCAAAGAGATAATCGCGTTTAATCTGGATTTTACAAGAATGGATTACAGATACATAAAGGGCAGTATTAGTTAATAGTTTTTAGTTTTAAGATTGCCTGTGATACGATTTAGATAGTGAATATTGTAAAGTTGTGAAGAGTTAAGTTGTTTGAGTTAATTAGTGAAGTAATTAGTGTCAGAGTGTAGAGTAACGTGGAATAAATGATTGTTGTGGTAATTGGACATTGATTTTGGAATAAACGGACCCAAGATTTCTGTCACGCAATTTAGAGCTGTGACAGTATTCTGTTAAAAAGTTTTGAAAATTACTCTTTCCACTTGAAGAAATTATTATATTCGTTGAGCCTCGACACAAAACAATCTGTTGTCTGTTGGCATTAAAAACTTTCATAGTCTTACCACAAAGTTCCTGAAATTCCTTCTCCTCCTCCGGCTCATGTTTTATAACTTCAATTTTAAGTTCGCTCAAAGGCTGCCACTGAAACGGTGGTTTTTCAGGGTCCTTATTTTCTACGGTAATCGTATTAAATCTGCCCTTTTTTATCGCGTGCTCTATCAACGTAGGATAAGTAATGCGTTTCGTTTTAAACATTTTCGATTTCAGCTTTCTCTGTTGCTTGACCCTGTCTTCCAGTTCTTTGATTTTGTTTTCGACAGATCCCTCTCTGATGCGATAGCGTTTGCTCAACGTTAGATTGTGTTTAACGGTGTGAGTCGGATAGCAAACTTCGGTTTTCAAGGTCTTCTTTCTGGTTCTTTTCATCCAGGTGGAATCTGCGACCGAGTATCGATGTTTTGTTGAATTGTTCTGAAACAGAATCAAGACTCAACTATTTCCTAGCTAATCTAGCCAAGTTTTTATACAAATAAAGATTCAAACTGTGGCTATCTCTGTTATCATAAAAGAGAGTATGTTTTAAAATACATAAATCTTAGAATTTTGGAATGCCTACTTCAATTGTGATCTCACCCCCTTTGCTATCATAATTTAATTATAATTCTTACCAATCCCTTAAATTGAAAATCACATTTCTTCCGTTGAATACTGAACACTTGTTCCATTTCTTGTCTATAATTCTCCCTAGACGCATCATTTACGAATCGTTTATTACTACTCATAGTAGAAAACAGGTGCTTTGATAAAAAATTAATCGAATAAACGTGGTAATATTTCTTTGAAATACTCAGCTTTGGTGAGTCAACAATCAAAAAGTTTCCTGTATAAAATCTGGGCATTTCTTTCACTTTAAGTTTAGGGGCTGGTAGCATTGCGTGACGCAAGCTGGGCAGTTTTAAGGCTAGGGGAAATGTATTTTTGGATCCATTGGAAGTTTCTCTTCTAAAATCATATAAATTACTTATACAAATCAAATAGTCTCAAATTTATCTCACCCATCATCATCCTCAAGGACATCATCTTGATTTTCATCCACATAGTTCTTGGATGTTGACGCTTGCTGACGACTGGTTTTTTTCGTCTGTGTTATACACGAAGTTGCGATTCGGGGCTTGGCGATGTTAGTACAGATAAATTTGAACATTTTCTTTGGGATTTTTCACTTGAATTTGGAGCTTATGTGCTATTTGTTCATGATGACAATCGTCGAAGAATTTTGATGTTACAGAAACTTTGACAAATTGAAATGGATGGTGGCAATGTCCATGGTGGCAATTTAGAATTTTGTGATTTTTTTGAAGAAAAACAAAAACCTGCAATAATTACCTTAAATAATGCTTCAAGGTGTTTATCAAAAGTCATAAATTTATAATTTTTTTCCGTCAATATTTCGCTTTCATTTTTTTTTTCCAAACCCTTCAAATTAATTCGTCTCAAAATGAATTACTTTAAAAACAGCAATCCATTTAGATTCCTAACATACTTTTTTCGCCCTCGTAGCTCCACTAGTGAAACTTTAATTAAACCGAGAAAGAGTAAAAGTGACATGATCCTCGAAAAACAGCCCAGCAAAGAAGTATCGTTGCAAAAATCCACAACGAGCATCACAAAATGTCAGAACATTGAGAAGCAGCCATCGAAAACTCAACTAACTAGAGCCGACAGTCGCAATTCTTTGCACCAAAGTAAAACTTCCTCGGAGCACAGCTTCAAGGGTGCAATGGTGAGGAAAAATAATGTTTTAAATTTTCAAGCGGCTCATGAAGAATCGAAATGTATCCCTTTAGACAAAGAATTAAGGAGGAAAATTGATCAATTACAAGCTTCATTTAATCTATCGAGAAATTCAACAGTTGAAAAAAACAGGCAAAGATTAAAGCGAGCTTATCCATGGCAAAATTTCAATCTTCACAATATTTCACAAACGAACTTGGATGTCTCCAAAAGAATTTCCTCCGAAATTGCTTTAGCCAGCAATAATTCATCTGCCGTAACTCTAGTACCATCAAAGCAGCAATTGAAGGAAATAAGAAAACAAGAGCCATTGTTTAAATCTATTTTACAAAAATCTGCAGTGAATCCTAAACCATCAATAATGCATAAGAAAGTGGCTTTCAATAGTATTACCACGATTTATGAATCAAAGAAAATGACACCCAAACCATCGAACCATCAGGAGAAAAGTAGAGAAGAAATTAAGAAATGCGTTTGTAAATGTTTTGGTCGATGCGAACCGTTGAAAGAAGAGCACAGTTTTATGAGTTTATATTTGAACAAAAGACCGAGGAAATTTTGATTCAATTGAAAGTTTCATTGTGTTCATTTATTTGTATTTTCGAAATATAAATCAGTGTGTCTCAACATTAAAATGTGTTTGTTGAGTTTACAATTAAGATGTGTGAAGTTATTGAAATGAGGTTCCTATAGAGGAGGTCAAATCCAGCGTAGTCAGTTGGGGTTCTTCTACTTCTTTCAATTTTAAGATATTTTCCGTTTTCTGAGTTCATATTAAAAGCCGCTTATCTTTTAACTAAAGTTAAAAAAAATGCTATTAGCCCCACCGATTATAGTGAATGGCTTAAATAACTTTGCCGATATTTACGATCAGTTAAATATCATACAAGGAATCCAAATAAAAGTTCTAAATGACGAAAGTATCAGAATAAACGTTCAGGACGCAGACAGCTAGAGACTGGTCACTAAAATACTAAATGAAAAAAAGCTTCAATGGCATTTATATTATGAAAACATACAAGTATTGCCAAATAGAGTAATTGCCAACAGGTTACACTTTTCGTGTGATCCAAAAAAAATTGTAGCCGACCTAAAAAATAGAGGGGGCCCTAGAAGCCTGCAACAAAGTGGTGAACAAAACAACCACTAAATATGTATATGCTAACAAGACACAACAAAATTTCCGAAATGTCCGACGTCCTTGGAAGTCAAATGAAAATAAAAGCACTAAAAACTTCCAAATTAGTCTCTCAATGCAAAAGATGTCAATCTTATGGACATAGGCAAAAATATTGCGCTAGAGAACCATCATGTGTGAAATGTACAGAAAAAAAAATCTCACTGTAGACTAAAATTAAAAGATTCTGAGGCAAAAAAAGAAACCCAGCTAACTTTAAAGGGTGCAATGTGGTGACTAAAGAAATACAAAAATTGAAAAAAAATAAGCAGAAAAGGCCAAATCCCACACCACAAGCAATTCATAATAGCAATACAGCACATGGAGGAAGCGCTGTCATAATTATTAAAGAAAACATATCCTACATTGAAGAGACGAGATATAAAAGAATAGAAATTCAAGCTACAGCAGTATCTAAGTGTAAAAACCAAAACATACACATCAACGATATGTTGCCTTATTTACCACCAAGGCATCTATTGAAGAAAAATCAATATCTTGGTTTTCTTAGAAAGTTAGGAAATCGATTTATAGTTGGGGGTGACTTTAATGCAAAAAACACCGACTGGGTAAGCCAACATATTATCAGGCAACAGATCCCGGACAAATTCCTGATCTAATTATATTTTTTTCGTAGTAAAATATCTTTTCCTACTGTGTACTGTATTCACAGGTGTTTAGGTATTCTCTATAGGTAATAGATATCAATGTGTTAAATTTTACAATAGGGAATCTGAAAGAATGAATGTAAAATGTAAGATATGATGGCGTACTTCAAGGAACTTGGGTCCACTGTTGATTTTATTGTACAGGGTGTCCCACGAGGTTTTTACCCAGATGATAATTTCGAACGACTTAACAAATATGGCATTGCCGATTTTGTTATTCAATTTTCTAACAAAAAATGCCATAACATAGTAACATAAAATCTGTTTTTTTTTTTAAAGATAAAAGTCAAAATGACATTATGTTGGCAATACAATGTAAAATTGTCAATCGTTCAAATTTTTTATGTTGAAAAGGCTTGTGTTGCCAACATAGTTACTAAATTTCTGACTTGGGGAATTATCTTTGAAAAAAAACAGACTTTACTATACCATAAGTAACATTTAAGATTCCAAATTTGCTATCACTTGACCGGAACTGGAGCCGAAGTGGTGAAATTGGATGACACATGTAAAAGCGGCACAAAAAGTTACCCAGATCCTCAAAATTTCAATTACATTGGATAACGCGTTCCGAAGTTATAACTTGGGAAAAACGTCGTGGGACACCCTGTATATAAATTATATAGGTAGGGTGGTAGATAAAAGTAAAATTTTATTGTTTGCGGATGACACAATGGCCACAATGCTATGCGTTGTTGACAGATATGTGAACCAACAAATTGTGAATGTCGAATTAAGTAAATTATATGGGGCTCTGTTCTGTGATAACAAGGTTTACATTAACGTTGAAAAATCTAAGTTTTATCTGTTTGGTAAGATCAAGAATTCGGCATATTGATGTAAATTATAAATATATCAGCATTGGGAGTAATTTTAGATGCAAACTTAAACTTCCAGGCTCATGCTGACCATGTTATGAGGAAATTGTCTGAAAAGGTGGGAAATAATTTGCCGATTGGTACAAGGATGCTGTTGTATATTAGCTTTGGGCGGGTTTGGGAAAAGGACGGTTTTAGAACGGTTTAAAATAATCGCACAGTTTATATTATTGAAATTTGTGATAGACGAGCCGTTGTCATTTTGTTGATTAATCCAACATTGCCCTACCTCATTTACAGTCTACAAAAAATACAGAATAGGGCTATGAAGGTAATTTTAAAATGCAATCCATATAGGTACTCATCCTATAAGGCTATAAAGGTTATGCATGATGTTTTGGATATGTTATGTCTGTTAAACAAAAAAGTATTTTTACTATTTTTAATGTAAATATATTTGTATTTAAAACTAGGATCCTATTCCTAGTTTACCCAAAGTCTTACAGCCACCTCATTGTTTGCTAATTCAATTTACTACAAAATATTTCAACCTTCAACATTCTACGGAAGTTGAATTATTATTTTTATGAAGCCCTTATAACGAAATCATTTACTCTTCTACGCAATACTATGGATTCGATATTCGATTACCTTCAATTAAAAATTTTAAAACCCCTGAAGTCATTTACTGATAAACTTAATTATTACAAACATTATTTTAATCAAATAATCCTTTCAATAATTCTAACTGATTAAATTTTTAATCAAAAATTCAGCAATTTAGACAACCATCCTACTTCAAGTGCAAAAAATTTTAATTAAAACTTTTCACTACCTACTTTTAATGAGAAAATTTTGGCTTGATTTTCTCTGCCTTTCCATCCATAGACGTGTTTCGACCTATCAGGTCTCATCAGCATGGCTAGGAAAATCAAAGAAAACCAAACCAAGTTTTGTGCCTGTAGCAGTGGCGGATTTACGATTTATGAGGCCCTACGCTACATAATTTTTGGGGCCCCTACCCCCTATTTTTTTTAAATACAAAGGACAAAATAATAGTAAAGTACCTACCTATTTAACGAGCGTATAATGTAGGCTATATAACACGAGCCGCAGGCGAGTGTAACAGCCATTATACGCGAGTCAAATACTATGCTTTATCTACGACTATTCATTTCATTAAGGAAATATAGGTAATAATGACTACGTTTATTTCACAATTTGTATCCGGATACTCAGTGAGTTGGATTATTAAGACGGATTAAAAATTCTGAAATAAACACGCAGGATTAGGAGAGTTTATCCGGGCTCCTTTTTGAATTGAATTTTTTTTCTTTGGGATCCGTTTATCATTTTTTATTGCCACTAGCACTAAACAGTTTAATATGTTTCTAGTGGAAATAAAATTATGGTAAACAGTCTCTTGATCACATACCGAAGAGTTACATACTAATTAATCCATGTATTAAATACAAAAATAACAATTTTGAATTACTTTATTAACTATACAGTATGATATCAATCCAGACAATAATAGTTACCTACAGTGGATACGATTTTTTGATTGTAAACGTTTTGCAGGCTTAAAATAAACACCTAAAGAGAAAGAAAAGTTATATATTTTATATTAGGTATTAATTATTATTAATTATATAGGTATCCAGATATTCCCGGACATTTTCATCATGCGTCCGGACACCGGACAAACCCTTGAAAAACCGGACAGTCCGGGTGAAAACCGGACAGGTGGCAACCCTAGTTGGAAGCTTTTTAAAACAAATGGACTGTACTTTTTATGTATAAATGTGACAACAGCATTGGACGACAGCGCCTCTGCCGTCTGTAGTCGCAAGCATTTAGCGGAACAAATTGAGCCATAAGAGTTGCACATGCATGGTAGAGAGGGTCCCTGCAGGGTAAATCCGCCACTGGCCTGTAGGCAAAATACAAATAGTACAACGGTCGAAATTTGATCGTGGCGCCATCTAAGACAAAGATTCAACACTAAACAGCAATTTTTGCTGTAATTTAGTGATTGACTATCTAATCGGCCGACCAAAATTCAGTTCGTGGGAAAAACCAGAATAGGAAAACCTATTATCTACTGATAGGTTGAAACGCGTCTATGGATAGAAAGGCAGAGAACATCAAGCGAAAATTTTCTCATCAGTAGATAATAGGTTTGTCTATTCTGGGTTTTCCCACGAACTGAATTTTGGTCGGCCGATTAGATAGTCAATCACTAAATTACGGCAAAAATTGCTGTTTAGTGTTGAATCTTTGTCTTAGATGGCGCCACGATCAAATTTCGACCGTTGTACTACTTTTAATGATTAAAACTTTTACTAAGGATCACATACTTAACCAGAACAATATTATTTTTCAAATTCCAGGTCATCACACAATTTATTTAAATTCCTTTAATTAACTATAGTCTATTTTTTCCCAAGATAGATTTTGACAATGTCAATTTTGAAACATAAACAATGCCGCTTATTATTATTATTCGACGAAGGTATCGTTTTCCAACCATGTGAAAATATACCTCACCTTCAAGGACACGGCATTTTGCGACCAATCCACGCGGTATTGTTTATGTTTCAAAGTTGACAATGTCAAAATCAATCTTGGGAAAAAATAGAGTGTACTAGACCCCTTATTCTTTATTTCAATTCAAAATCCTCAATAAATTTATTCCACTAATTGGCAATTGTTAAGTGCATTATTTCCTATTTAAACTCTTGGGCAAAATATTTAAAAGTCATTTCACTCAAAGTTAATTAAATTTTGGCAATACTGTTCCATAGTCATTTTTCACATTCATAGTCATTGCAATTAAATTCAAATAAAAGTCTTCTTATCTTACATGTATTTACTATAATAATTGTCATTAACCCTTAACTGGCGTGGTGAAATTTTTATGCGTACATACCGTCCTGACGTCCCTGGGACCACATAACTAATGGACCGAAAAAAATATTGTTTTCAACAAAAAAAATTTTTTTATAGTTTTGTTACATTATTTGACATATTATTGATAATATTTTATTATTATATTCGCGGAATAAAAAATCACGTGTCATAAAAAATTAACTTTATTTGCTAGTAAATATACACAAAAAATAACAATGCATGGAATTAAAGCGCGTAAATCATTCTCAAGGAAAAAATAAGTTGAAATAAAAAAAGTATTAACTCTTGAAACATTAATAAACATATAAAAATACATAAACTTGAAATTAAACCTCTGTAAAGAAAACGTGCAAGCCTGTATGACCTCTTATTGTTCTTCACCTGTGGCACATTCTACACACTGTCCAAAGAGTCAAACATACGCAAAACTTTGTCCTTAAAATCAGGATCAGCATATCTGACACGTTCTGGGACAGGAGACGTATCCATTTTCAGTTTTAGAAAAAAAATACGAGCTTAAAAATAAAAAGACGAGAAAACAATTTGTTACGTACTTACCGTCGAGTGGTCCTAGGGACCACGATCACGCTGTCACGTAAAAATGGGGAATCACAACGCACCAACACTAAGCAGCCTAGATCGAGGACATGCTAACTAGAAGGTACTGAGACGCATAGCTCGAAATTTTCAATGATGGTGGAGGTACATGCCCAAATATATTGGCTTGGGTCCCAGGGACGTCACAACGCCAGTTAAGGGTTAACTCCACTACACTGGCTCTAACTATCAAAGTATTGTTACGATATCGCTAACGCCAGGCCAGAACAACAGCGTCCGCCGCCAGGCTGTCAAGAATCTAGCGAATTATTCTACTCTAATCTGGAAAATAAGATTATCGTGTGTATTCTAGATTTTACAGGAATAGGTTTAGGGATATATAAGAAGGCCGGCATTGGTTTGTAAGTTAAAGTTTGGCTGTGTTACGAGTTAAATAGCGATTATTGAGTTGTAGAGTTTAATTGTTGAGTTAGTTATTAAAGTAATTAGTGTCAGAGTGTATTGTTCCCAACCCAAGATTTCTGTCAGGCAATCCAAAGCCATGACAGTATTTTTGTTTTAATTGCTTAGCACGCAAAAATTGAATAAAATATTTGAATTTACTTCTAACTTCATAACTGATCAAGAAAATAACCTTTTGGAGGAGACTCAAATCACTGCCAATCTCTACTGTTCTCTACTATCTTACTATGAATTAACTGCTGATTCTACTTCTATTTCAAAAAAAAAAAAAAATGTGCAAAAACGCCGACAGCGCGTGTACACAATTAAACAAGTTAGCCTTTTAATTAATGTCGTTTGGTGTGTAGATTTATGAGTTTATATAAAGGGTCAGGAATCTCGTGACTCTTCCGGTTGCGTAATTATTTCATTCGGACCGCCTTCGGTAAAAATAACTGATGACTATAGAAGGGGTCCGTATAATAATTGTTAGATTAGATTTTGACCTTTATCGTTGGTTTAAGCAGATATTTGAACAAAAAGGCTGTGTTGCCATATTTCAGAATCCGCCAAGGAACATGATATTTGCAGGTTTCACTACTAACAGTAGAGCGTCGAATCTATTGCATTGCATAGTTACTTACATTATTTGAAAATCGGTAAACTTGGCAACATTGTCGATGACATCAGTGAATCGGGCATCAACAATTACCCCTCTGCAAAAAATTTCGTAATTTCATTTTAAGCTGTTGTAGCATCCGCGCCAAGTACTCTATAGCTACTGAAAAATAAAATTGTGGGGGCGGGTCTATTTGCAATTGAAAGAAACAACTGATTTATATGGTTATCCGTTAATAATTATACTTTATTGATAAGAAAATAAACAGATTTTAATTTCCTATAACCATGGTACAAATTTTCTAAACCCTAATCCAATACCTTTCAATACAAAAATAAACAGTCCTAAATTGATGCAATCGAACAGCCACCTTTACACGGTCTCTGAGCTTGTTAATCAAATGATGCAATCAAAAAGTCTTGTGCTTTAATACCCCTTTCAAATAACCTTACTACGGTTAGGTACAATATTTTTAAATCCTAAACACCTTTTATACCTCAAAAAATTCATAATTTAGTTTAATTATTATAACTTCCTGTTCTATAAACGTATAAAATCCCTGAAATAGCTTACTGCCAAATTTTGTACATTACTTATACTCAAAAATCATGTACAGCCAAAGGCCAGAGTAAATAAATACTATCAAAACAATTATCTTAATTCATTTAATTAGAAACCAAAATATCTAACTAATCATTTTCTAGACGGAACAAAACAGTTAATTCGATTATCCAAACTTTTCAGTTAAATTCATTCAGTCATTTGATTTTAATTTCTCTATCTATACTGAGCACAAAAATATTCAAAGTCAATACACTCAAGTTAATAATATTTATGCAATAAAGTTTCATAGTCAATTCACTTCATAGTCATTTCAACATTGATAAAGTCAAAATAAAACTTGTCACTAGAGTACTCACATTTAAATAATCGCGCTTAAAGTGACTTAATTATTCTAACTATTGTTCACTACAAAATAGCTAGAGCACGCTCATAAAAACTGAAAGGTTTACTTCTTTCTTAATTCGAGTTATTTACTGTAGTTTTTACTTTTTCCGAGGCCCGACTTTTTATACTGGAGAGAATTCGCCACTTCTGAATACTACTAATTATTAAGTCTAATTCACAATAAATTATTGGAAATTGCCCTCTACTTAAATGATCGCCCCTTTTATATTATTATTTACCCACTATAGAATCGACAATATGGGCGGTCTTTGACCATCTGTAATTCAATTCTATTGGTCGACCTAGATATTAATCCAAAAAATATAACTTGCTCATTGGATGATGACGAAATCTGTGTCGAAATTCTATGATTATTTGGGGTCAACAAAATGGGAAACAATGTAGAGGACACTTAATTCAAGGAAAAGCCGAACTCGTGCCGGCAATAAATTATACGATTTTTTGAAATTTCTGTCATTTTGGGACCTAATATTAATCAGGTACCTAACCTTGTATTTAATCTTTTCCGGGTTTTGATTGATGAGCTCAACTAACTTGATGGCACACGCGTGATGACTGGCGATTAGAAATTGAACGTATTTTAAATATTTTAATTAATTTGGGGTCAACGCTAATTTGTCTCATCATTTTCCAGTTTTATTGATACTGATTTGAAATATTGGAGATTCAATTTTTAATTATTTGATTACATTTACGTAATTTTTATTGTTGAGACATTGTAAATTACGGGTCTATTTTCCCGGGTCATTACACCGTTCAGAGTCCGTATTCTTGAACAGGGGAGCAGCGTTCCCAGAAGAATGAGTGTTCGTTTTTGTCAATGCTATGCAACTTATAATATAAGTAACAAGGACGGAACACTCGTTCTCCTGGGAACGCTGCTCCCCTGTTTCAAGAATAAGGACCCTGGAAATATTTGATCGTTCCCAGATATTTGAACAAGAAGGCTATGGTGCCATATTTCAGAATCCGCGTAAAATAGGGACAGGATATTTGTAGGTTTCTCCAACAGTAGAGCGTCGAATTTATTGCATTGAAAATAAAGTGGTGTAACTATTTGAAAAAACGAATTTGCCTACATTATCGGAAAAGCGGCAAACTTGGCAACATTGTCGATGTCATCAGTGAATCGGGAATCAAATAATTACCCCTCTGCAGAAAATTTCGTAATTTTTTTTCAAGCCGCTCTGGATATATTTGACCGTTCCCAGACTATTGAAACACACGTATTAAATTTTCGAAATGTAAATTTTTAAATATTTTGTAATCCCCATGACAAAACAATTCTCAACAATATGATGCAACGCATAAGGTGTGGAATTCAAGAAATTAAAAATGAATCTATTAACAATTCCCCACTGACAACAAAAACACTGATTATTCCCTTTGGAAAACAACCACAGGCCTTAAAAGACCAGTTTCCCAAATTCCACACTTGACAAAAAAATAAATCTTTATAACTTCATCTGATTCCAGAACAATAATCTTCTGCAAGTCACATTCCAAAATAAGTTGAGATTCAAAGAAAAGTTATCATCTCAACTCAATCACTATGCTAAAGGCCTTTAATTTTCTTTCCACTTTTCTTCTTAATTCCTCTTCACAGGTTCATCTCGTTGCTAATTAAAACAAAATCAATATTTAAATTCTGTGAATGAACATGATTTGAATAAAACGATTGTTATAAAGTTCAACAAAAATGAAAATATTTAATAGTTAAACCCAAAAAGTAATTTTATTGAAATTTGCAATGAGTATTTAAGAATACTTAAGGCGATCAGTTTATGATTAACAATAAACAAGTTTTGTCATCAATATAATATTTTGCTGATTCACAATATCATATATAAATAATAATGTTGTGTTTTCATTATCAGCAGCAAAATGTCATATTTTTTCTATAAATCAAATATAAAAAACACTTAAAAAAGTACTACAATATTCATCTTTTCAAACAAATCCTTAATTTCTCAAACTAACAATAAGTCATCAACAATATAATTATTATGCTCGACTCAAATCATTGGATTTCCATATTTCACCAAATTCGCCAGCTCCATAGCGTTATATCCTAACATTTGCTTCAAATCGCACACAAATTTATAAACGAATCGTCTCCCAGGCACTTTAGATATCATATCGCCGTCGTAATAGTAGCGCAAGGCTCTCGATAGTTTTTCATAGTTCATTAATGGCTTATTTTTCCGGTCTCCCCATAACTGAGCCACCAAATCAGGCTGACATAACCTGAACTCTGAACCATTACCTATATTTATAAATATTGCATAGTATTTGACACATCACAAAGAAATACGATTTTTCTTACCTGTCCATTGAATTATAGAGTGATACTCTCTGCTGGTCAATAATTCAAGAAGAAACTGCCATAATTGTATTTGGCCATTGTTACCAAATCTATTCCCTGCTACAGGACAACTGTGTGTGGAATGAATGGAATGATGATGATATGTTCCGGATCTTGTGTCTGATTCAGCTATTGGTTTTTTCGTAGGTGGACTTTCTTCCATTAGTGGATCAGAATTGGTTCTTTTAATGGCTAAAAAATAAACCTTATGAAATTCTATGAATATTTAGAAGCTTACGAACACAAACAATAAAATGAAAGTATTATTTTGCCTTACCGACTAATTTCATCCTTCTTAAAAGTTCCAAATGCGTCCAAAAAATATCCCCAGGATCATTAGGCACCAATTTTTTAAAATCGTGCAACGTCAATTCATACAATTTTTGACCGTCGAAATCCCAGTCGCTAAGTTTTAAATTTAACAAATCAAATTTTCGCACAGCCCACTGTAGCCAGTGCTTTACGTGCGAACGATTCCATTGCACTGGATCCAATGGTATGTTCAATTTTTCTTGTACTTTCTTGTATTGCGTGTCAACTTGCCACTGGACAATTTTTTTATTTTTATCAACTGGTTCAGTTACTTCTTCATTTTCACTGTCCAGATTGATGGGTTCTTCTGTTTCAGGTTCTTCTTCTACTTCTAGGATAATAATTGAAATAATACAAAATTAGATTTTTTTTTGGTTTGTTACCTTTATGAACATAATCATCGGCTGGTTTTAATACATCCATTATATTGATTCTCTTACTGGCCAATAATACATAAATATTCACTTGAACAATGCCTTTGCCTTGCACACATTGGTCCACCAAATTTTTATGATCTTCAAGCTAAAAATAATCAAATTAAAATCATTTAAAACCTATAAAAACAACTTACAATTTGTGTATCCTGTAATGTAAATTTAAAATTATTTAATTTTGTATTGAGTTTCTTCTCAAGAATCTTTTTGAGTTTTGACAATGGATCTCTGATATCCATATGTTCCATGAAATAATGGCAAGATGGATTTACGTCTATGTTCATCATTATGTCGGAGTCTAATTGGTTCATGAGCTTTTCTTCGAAATCTTGGGCAGTATCCAAATGCATCATACCTAAAAAAATGTATAGTTGATTGTTGATTTTATTGTGGTTACATTCAGTATTTTTGTTCCAAAAATTTGTGCGCATTTGTATTTGCATTAATTTTCTCTTGAGAGTATTGAACACAAGAAACCAAAATTGATGAGGTGCCTGGAATAGGTAACCAAAAAATTGCTTAAATGGAATAACTAAGAAACGAAAAAAAAAAGAGGAAAAATAGAGTGAAAAATAAAGAAAATTCTACTTAGAAAATGATTCACTTACCAAGTTGAGATGGATCACCAAGATGGTTTATAGTGTCTGTTTCTGAATCTTTACTTAAGCTGTTTTCATCAGCTTGAGGTTGGTCCTCATCATCATTTTCAGATTTACTCAAATATTCAGTCATAAACCCATGGTCATCTAGTACATACCTAAAATAAAAACCAATCTACTGTGTAATTTAATATTATAATCTTTATCTGTATGTAAAACAATACATTATGTCCATCTAAAAGTAATATAAATAATAACAAATATTGATATTTTGTACAGTTAAAGTAAAAAAGTGTCACCAACAAGCTAAAATTTTACTTTTACTATAAAAATAAGAAAAATACGTAACTCTTCCTGTATGATACCTACTCATTTTCTGCAATTTTTTTCAAATATTTCTCGTAGGTACTGCCTGACTGGTTGTTTTGATTTAGGTACTAGGACAGGGAACGATGATATGTGTTTATGTATGAGACTAGGATAAGGTGAGATTGTATTAATGCAAAACAAAGTCCAAGAAATTTGGTATTTAATTGAGAACTGATCAAAATCAATATCATCAACATTGCATTGGAACCTAGGCACCTGAGTCTTACTAAAGTTAAAAAGCGGTTTATTTACATCATACAAACACTGTACTGCCCTGATGTTATCAGAAATCACCTGGACCAGCTCATCATCTGGACGCAGATTCTTGATATTTCAAGAACGAGAAGATCATTGATGTATATGAGGAATAATATTGGTCCCATAACTGATCCTTTTGAAACCCCAGGGATGATTGGTTGATCGGAAGAATATTTTCCATCCAGGGTGAAACGCTAATTGCGATATGAAAGATATGATTTGAACCGCTGTAAGCTCACACCCCAAAAGCCGCAAACCTTTAACTTCAAACAGTCAAGGGCTTTTGAGAAGTCACAGAAAAACCCCACGGAACAAGCCATCGTTGTAGTGCTGGAGAAGTTGTTCTACCACGTGAAACATGGCATCATGGGTACCTTTCTTAGGATGGAATCCAAATTGGGCAGAGTTAAAAACTTTGTTTTTTGATAGGAAGTCCATCATATTTTTACATTTTTTAAGAAGTTTTTCTACAACAAACAAGTTTGAAAAAGAAAGGTTGGCGAGCACTTTGAGTATGTAATAGATAGGGCTAATAGAATATTAGGTTTCATCAAAAGAACCAGTAAGGACTTTAGGAGTGTGTTTGCTCTGAAGGTGTTGTATATGTCGCTGGTTCGATCCATCCTGGAATTTTCAAACATAAAACTCAGTGTCTCTTATTAATCCTCACGGAGTGCCCCAAGGTTCAGTATTGGGACCCCTACTCTTCCTTCTGTACATAAATGACCTGACTAACGTGGATATTGATGGAAAGTTGACCTTATTTGCTGATGACACCACTATTTTATGGATTGAACATGACCTACAGATCTTGCAAAATAAAATCCAGAATGATATCATGAAGATGAAAGAGTAGTGTGATACAAATTGCTTGACATTTAATATAAAAAATAGTAGATTATACCACGAGTCAATAATGATAGCTATTATTCCCGAGGATTATTACGAACTGAGCCGCGTTAGCGGCGAGGGAGTAACATTATGAGGGAATAATAGCCATTATTGCGAGTAGTATACTCTACTTTATTTACGACAAATTAATTTATTTGAGATTTTCAATTAACAAATTTCATCCGTCTCATAATTTTCAATACAAATCCACAAGCACTACACGTTTGACACTGACACTTTTGTGGAATAATGACCATTAATCCCGCTACTCGTCATTAATCCCTGGAGGAATAACATATGTCATTATACTGCCAAAATCACAAATATAATACGCACATTATACATTAGTCGTAAATAAAACAAATATAATGTCGTTTAGGTGTAGTGTTGATGATGTGGCAATGCAGAGTGACACAATTGTTAATAAATCATGTACGAAATTTCTGGGAATTACTATTGACTCGAGACTCAATTTTTCTGATCACATAACTGCACTTAATAAAAGGCTGTCTGCAGGTTGTTATGCAATAAGGGTGATAAGCAAACAGGTGAATCATTCCATGGCAAGATCATTGTACTTTTCCGTAATTGAGTCAAATATAAGATACGGAATTCCATTCTGGGGATTTGCTAACAAACAACTTATGCAGTCAGCATTTGTACTTCAGAAGAGAGCACTCAGGTATCTTTGTGGTTTAAATTTTAGGGAACATTGTAGGGAACATTTCAGAAGGGAAGGGATACTGACTGTAGCATGTCTTTTTATATTGGAAACAGTTACCCTAATACATAGGAAGTATGCTGATGTTTCAAATGAAAATGTTCACAATACCCGGCGTGGCAATGAATTGCGCCTGCCTATACCAAGATCCACGCTCACCAAACAGTCAATAGTGTATGGGGGTTTAAAGTTGTATAATCACTTGCCTATGAATTTAAAGAGCCTAAACTGTTTAAAAAAATTCAGGGTGGCAGTGAAAAGGCTTTTCCAATCTAAGGCATATTATTCGGTGGACGAATTTTACCACGAGACATTTTGATCTGTTTGTTTGTACAATTCAGCAAGACTTGCTTTTGTGACTTTTAATTTGTTTGTTATTCCACTTTGTTGCTCCATTTGTTCTTTTTATTTTTTTTGTTAATCTAAGCTATGTGTAAGTGCTTTTATAACCTGTTTTATTTTTTATATTTTAACCAATGATTTCAACAAAATTTGTATTCATTTTCTTTTCAGTATATTTAATTACCTATCTTATAGTATTGAGACATTTTATAGTTTTAAATTATGTTATAATTATCTTATAATTTGTAGTCATATGTTCATTAATTTTATTTTACTGATTTGGTTTATAGTTTTTGTATTTATATATATATTTTTCTCTTTGTTTTTTTATTTTGTTCTATTTTCTATTTATAAGAGCTTTGTTAACAACATTTCATGTTTCATAACAATAAAGCATTATTTGATTGAGAATTTGGTAGCCATATTATCAGGTACATATAAACAGACTTGACAATGTTCAATTTAAATTTGTAAAATATGCTAAATATAAACTTTTTTGCAATGGTATTGAACTTGATAATGATCAGACTCTGTTATACCTAGACTTAGCATCTCTTGTTCGCAGGAGAGAATACTATGATATATGCCGGGATATATGTTTTGCATTTTAATGTTCTAAACCACTATATCAAGAGTCCAGAATGTTTGGAAAATTTTTGATTTCATATACCTGGCTATCCAACACGAAGGCAGACCTTGATGCATATATTGTCTGGCTAGCCGAACATCGAATTGCAGTTCTGTGGAACTGCAAAAGAATTTGCTGCTTTGCCAAACTTGACGGAAAAAATAATAAACAAGTTGGTGACATTTTTTTTTCGCTGTGTCTAGCCTCCCGGCACCGGTATTCATACGAATCCCGGTTATGACGCGTTTTCGATGACTCCATCAACGACCGCCGGGATTTATCGTGGATACCGGCTATTCGATTCAAAATTCAAAGTCGTAGTGTTTCTCTTGCTGCTTGAAGCTGTGATTAATTCCGGAATAGCTTTTGTGTATTATTGTTTCTTGTTGTGATATTGGTATTAGAGTGGTAAGCACTTCGTTAATCCACTTTTCGTAGTTGTGGTTTAAAAAGGGAATAGTTATATGGTTTAATCTCATTCATGATTCAGGACAATAGCTTTTTTAACAGCCTGTATCTCTCAAATAGGGTACTCTTGGACCCATGTTTATAGGAATTTTTGCTTTTAATTTGGGGGTAGAATCCGCAGTTAAAATATTAACCTCTAATTTTGGGGCACACTGTGTAATGTTGCTGAAACTTAACGACGTTGCTGAAACTTAACGACGTTGCTGTACAAGATCAAATGCTGAACAAACTTTCAAAATGACCCTGTACCATCGTCACCAAAAGTATCTGGGACACAAATAATGCCTAATAATCTCCTGGACTAATTCTACTGTCATTCATTTCAATGCATTATATTCATAGTTTGACAAATATTTGACAATAAAATTCATATAATAGGACAAGAGCTAATGTGATGCTGTCCCAGTTACTTTTGGTGACGATGGTACCTACATATAATAAGAAGTCATAATTTTATTTTCCATTAATAAAAGCTTATCGCGCCCGACTTTGTTTACTTTTTTTACTCTTCATAATAAATCTGCCCCAATACCAATGAACATAATAATTATTAACATCTTGTATAGCAATAGCCGGGATCCACGCCAGTTACCGGTGGTTGTTGATGATGTCCTTTAAAACGCGCCATAACCGGGATTCATATGAATACCGGTGCCGGGAGGCTAGACACAGCGTTTTTTTTTTGCTTTATGGGCATGAGTAATATTTTATTTTGAAATAGAAAAAAATCTGGCAACATTGCGAAATGATGGATGTGGAGAGGCGTGATTATTCAGAGGCATGATTCTATTGGTAAGAGCCTGAAGGACAGCACGCAGTGGCGTGGTTATCGGCGAAACTAGAGTTTTTTTTTTTCTAATAGTTTCATTGGTTTATTTCCTTGGTGTTTTCGGTGGCACTGAACTCAAAGACATGGCTGTCATCAGTAGGGCTGGGCGATTATCAAAATAAATAATCGATTATCAATTATTAAAAATAATCGATTATTTTTGATTAATCGATTAATCGAAAATAATCGATTAATCGAAAATAATCGATTAACCGAAAATAATCGATTAATCGAAAATAATCGATTTATTGGAAATAATCGATTAATTGATTATTAATCGATTATCGATTTTTCAAAAATAAAATAATCGACTAATCGATTATTAATCGATTATTTTGCCCACCCCTAGTCATCAGGCGGTGTCAGTTGAAGTGTCAGTGAATATTTTTAGGTTATGCCTCACTTTTCTTCCCCCTTCCGTCTCTACCAAGTTACCACTCGCCAGACTATACCAATTTGCAATTCTTGGTACTTATTGTATAGTCCTGTTAACAGAGTATCAGCGAATGTGAATAAGTTTTCTGAGTCACTAGAATTCTTTACCTAATGTTTCCCATAGAAAATTTAAGAGTTGTGCAAAAAGGGCTGTTTTAGGTTAGTTAGTTTAAGCTAACTTGTAAATGTTGATATCGGGTCTTCAAAAAAAAAACAATCTAAGATTGCTATGGTTTTTTAAACGTATGTCTTAGCAATATTTTTATTTAATTTTCTCAATGAACGTTAATGTCAAAATGATTTGTCAATAATACTGTCCAATAAATAAACAGTAATGCGACATACGTTTTCGTAATCAAAGCAATCTTCGATTGGTTTTTTTTTTGAAGACCCGATACCTTAATAAATAAATAAAACTTCTCAGAAAAAACTTCACTTTATTGTGAACTGTGTAGTGCACTCTTGAAACTCGTTGCATCAGAAAACTGTATCGGCCCCAAACACAAAAAGCTTTAAGAATCGCATTGATATGGAGCTAAAGCAGAATTCAGAGAGAATGATCCACTACAGACACTAAAGTGAGCGAACAAATTCACTTAGGGTCAAATTATGGACCAACTGGTAAGTGTCTGATTGTTACCTAGCAGGTACTTTCTATTATTTAGAACATAGAAAGTACCTGCTAGGTAACAACCAGACGTTTATCAGTCACTCCATAATTTGGCCCTTAAACCTTAAAATCTTGATAAGAAACAATAGCTTTATCGATGGTACTGCCTGCTATTGACAACATAATAATAAATAATTTGATTTAACAAAATTACAAAAGAAACTACTTACTTTTTGGTCGGGTCCGATTGTGAGGTACAAATTTTTTGTCCATGTTTGTTGAGACTCAAAAAATAAGTATCTGGTTGTAACTCATTGGATTTGTTCATTTTTTCAAATTAAAATGGAAAATGAATAAAAATTTACAAACAACTACTTTTCATCAAAACATCATAAAAACCCATAACATAACCTCAAACTCAGATCGGTTGACACTAGCTTTGTTCCAACACTTGCGCAAAGCCAAAAATTTGTGCGTAAAGAATGACCGTCGGTCTTACGTTCTGAACAAACTGATTGAACCGTGTTCTTCCGATTTCGGATCAGTTCCCCCACCAAACCTTAGAGCAGGTAAAGCGCTGTCCTACGGACTTTAAGAGAGCCGCTTTCCAGTATGGGAGTGTGACGCCCGGAGCTACTCGGGGCGTTGAGCCCCCGAGCTGTACGTACGCGTCAACCTATCAGCTGTCACATCTGTGGGTGGCTATTTATCTATTTATTTCTTGTTATATCTCAAGATTGAACATTTTAAAATATATAGTTTTGATTCTCTTTCATTTTTGATAAATAAAAAAACAAACAAACAGATAATTATTTTTAAAATTTGACATATTTGACACTAGGACAGGAGTCTTACGCCATGATACTGGAACGGTGCAAATCTAGTGCGTGGCGCCCCCGAGGTGCTCTGGAGCGCGCCAATGTGCATACTGGAAAGCGGCTGAGGTTTGTTTGTTTGTGTTGTTCGGAGCAGCACTTCCTGCTTTTGGGCGGTATTACAGCTTAGTTCAAGTAGTGCGACACAAACAAATAAACCTAAGGAGTAGAAACGCGCTATTCTGCTATGAAACAGTGGCCGGTGTTCGTTTTTGGACTGGATCAAACGTTTCAATTGTCAAATCACGTGTCTGTCAAAATTTCGGAACAAATCGACGAAAAAGATAACAAAAACGAACATGGCCATAATAGGCAAATAAAAAGATGCAAACGAGATCTAAAAAATAGTGTTAATTAATGTAGTAAAACCAAGTATGCATAAAACAAAAGCCCGCGGAATCATAACCGGTGGTGCAAACAGAACAGCCTACGTCAAGGCGAGAAACGACATTCTGCCTACGTCACAATTGGTGATTTCGCGTGGTGGGGGGCTTCAGATTTGTTCTACACAGGCCTTATGAGGATAGGCTATCTTGTCTCGTTCTCAGAACTATGTTATAGTGTCGCTCGCGACACCTCGGTAACCAATAGGAATCGAGCATTCAAATGACAGGTCGATTCCTATTGGTTACCGAGGTCATAAAATGATATCTAACATCTATATGTTTTGATCTTTTGTTGAATTATCCATTTTTAATAATACTGATTGCACTTTGATTATCTTTATTTAAGAGAACAGTTACATTTTTCAAAAACATGCTTTCTAAAAGAACTTTTAAGTATAGTACCTCCTTTACGCTCTTAGCTGCTGCTATAAATTCAGCTTCCATACTACTTAATGCTGTCACTGGTTGTTTTCTGGAACACCAACTTACTGGACCATTACAGTAGAATACTACATAGCCTGTATAGTGCTCTGTGATTGGTGTACTTGCTGGTTTTGCATTCTCCATTTGGAATCTTTCTATTACACTTTGAGTGTAGCTCTCTTGGTCTAACTTTATCCAGTTTTCACCTTTTGTTATATTTATTCCCAAGAAACTGTCAATATTTTCAAACTTCTTTATTTCGAAATTTTCCTCAAGTTTGTTCAATAAGTTGTCTATGTCTACTAATTTTTCTCCAACAATTAAACCATCGTCAACGTAAATGGCTAAAAATAGATTTCTTGTTTGATTTTTAAAAATGCACTGGTCAACACTAAGAGGTTCCATGTTATTTTCCTTTAAAATTTTTGTAAAGCATTTGTTCCATCTCATTGGTGCTTGCTTAAGTCCGTATAGTGATTTCTTCAGCTTGCATATTTTTCTTTCTCGTTTTTCATAGCCTTCAGGAATATGCATATAAATGTCTGCTGTAATTGTACCATAGAGGAATGCAGTCTTTATGTCAAATTTCTTCATTTTTAAGTCTTTTTGTACTGCTACGGTAACAACCTTTTTAGAGAACTGATACTTACTACAGGACTAAATATCTCCTCGTAATCAAGTCCTTTTTGTTGTTGAAATCCTCTTACTACAAGTCTTGCTGTTATATGTCCCGTTATCTTTTATTCTAAAAACCCATTTATTTGATAGTATTTTCTTAACGTTGGCCCGCGGGGCCCGCAGTTGCGGGGCGGCCCCGTAATCTTGGGGGCCGCGCGGGGTCCCAGACCAGGCAAAAGTACTAAACTGGTGACAAGAGTAGTACTTAACTGAAAGAAAATACTTTAACCTATGAACCTCATAATACATATCAACCATTGAAAAAGTATGTCTGGTCATGGTCTAACCAATGTAAGAAATTTCAGAGAGAAATGTTCAGACATACATAGATGCAAAATTACCTGTCCGTTTTAAGTGATACCACTAATTGCTATCTCCGAAATCGGAGGTATGAGGTCAGGTAAATTAAATAAAAATGGCAGATTTTGATATCCATTGGAGGTAACTTCACAGGGTTGCCAATTTTTTATTTGTTTGATATAAAGCCTCTGAGGTAAAATGTAAACACAACTAGAAGCTGCGAGAAGATAACAAACGCCATTTTGTAGAGAAGAAATAATCTTGGAACTTTTGCATTGAACACTTTTTTCTAAAATTGATAGATTTTGAAATATTCATTAAATAAGTATAAAATGTTTTTTACATTTCCCTTATATCTCGGAAATGTATAAAGATTTGGCAACCCTGTGAACTTAAATGAATATTTCCTACCTGGGGGTTTTTGAGAATGCCCGATTCAATGGTGGTATTTGCAATGTTGCCAAGTTTACCGTTTCTAAGATGTCGTATGTAACTTGATTTTTTTAAATGGATGCCCCTCTTTATTTTTATTGCAATTAATTCAGCGTCCTAACATTACTAAAACCCGTTAATTTCAAAACTCCATTGTACTTGGTTTTTGAAATATGGCAACACAGATTTTTTGTTGAAATGTATGGAAACAGTCTCATATTTCAGAACAGGCTTTAGAAAAATGTACAATATTCCCTACTGGGGGTTTTCAGGAATGCCCGATTCAATGGTGGTATTTGCAATGGTGCCAAGTTTACCGTTTCTAAGATCCCGTATGTACCTGCCCGTAGGAGCATCTATTAAAAAAAAAATCAAGTTACATAAGGTATCTTATAAAAGGTAAACTTGGCAACATTGCAAATACCACCATTGAATCGGGCAATCTCAAAAACCCGCTAGTAGGGAATATTGTACATTTTGCTAAAGTCTTTTCTGAAATTCGAGACTGTTTTCATACATTTTAACAAAAAAATTGTGTTGCCATATTTCATGAACCAAGTAAAATAGAATTTTGGCATTTAGGGGTTTTAGTAATATTGGGACGCTGAATTAATTACAATGAAAATAAAGTGGGACATCCATTCAAAAAAATCAAGTTACATACAGCATTTAAGAAACGGTAAACTTGGCAGCATTGCAAATACCACCATTGAATCGGGCATTCCCAAAAACCCTCCGGTAGGAAATATTGTAAATTTTTTTCAATCCGGTTCTGAAATATCAGACCGTTTCCATACATAACGACAATCCTGTATATGAAAGATGGGCCCCAGGAAAGTCCTTGCGGGGGGGCCTGGATTTGAAGTAACGCCACTGCCAAGTTTCGTTTCTTTTCAATGAGTCTTTTTCATCTTCTATAGCTTGTTTCCAATTATTCCTTTCTTCGCTTTCAATTGCTTCCTCGTATGTTAATAGAATGTAATCTTCTAAGTGTTGCGGTTTTTTAATATGTCTTCCTTGTCTCGTTATCGGGCCTTGTCCTCCCAAGTTTAAATATTTATCACTTTCTTCATATATATATTTTCTGGTATATTTTGCTTTTTTTCTTGATTTACTGTTATTTCTTTATTTGTATCTATTTTATTGTTAATTTTTACGTTTTTTTTTTTGTAATTTTTCGGTTTTTTAAACAACACATCTCTTCTTATTAGGATTTTCTGTTTCTTTTCATCTCATAAACGGTACCTATCCTGTTAGTGCATAACCCACAAATAAATATTTTTCACATCGGGTATCTAGTTTCTTTAGGTATCCTAGATTTTTTAAGTATGCTTCAACTCCAACTTGCATTCTTTTCAAATCCGGCTTGCGGCCTGTCCATATTTCAATAGGAGTTTTATCTAGCTGTAGGACTTCTATTTAGTATATAAGCAGCAACTCTGGCCGCCTCTCCCCAAAATATTTTGTCCATGTTTGAATCAAATAATAAAGATCTTACTTTCTCTATTAGGGTTCTATTGAGTCTTTCAGCCTTTCCGTTAAGTTGGAGTGTATATGGTATTGTCAAGTCCATAACTATTCCTTTCCCTTCACAATATCTCTGTAGATCTTCATTTACATACCTATTCTTTGCCATTGTCACTTCTTATTTTTGACATCAACATTTCATCAGTTACATCTTGATTCAACGCTTTTAGTCTGTAGGCTAAGTTTTGTAATTTACTTACATGTGTACATGTGTAGCAATATCAATGCCTCGTTCAAACTGAACACTAAAAAACTCTTGCAATAAATGGCATTTCTGACCTTCTGCATCTTTCTCAAATATTTCTTTTAGCTTTGTATACATGTCAGCTGATGTTTTACAGTTCATTAAATATACTAATACTTTTCGGTCCATTGTGGAAATAATGATTTTCTGTGCTTTTGCATCTCGTTGTATCCAACCTTTTTTATCCTTTTCTCCTGTTAACACTTCGTAGGTTTCATCGCCTGACACTACTGCATAAAGCCCACTCGCTCTGAAGAAAATTGAGGTCTGAAAGATGGTTGCAATCTCATTTTCACTTGCACTAGCCATATATTGTTTTTTTTTCTTTTTTCAATTGTCAGTTAGGTTACCTGGAATTTTTTTTTTAATTTTATTGTTTTCACTCACTGTTTCGTTTTTTTTTTAAAGCTTCCTGGGCCCATAACTTGTTGTTTATTATTACTTTATGTTATTTTATATTTTAATAACTGCAGTGGTCTGGATTTTCAAAGAACTTATACAGTGAGGGGCAAGCTACTAGGTATATAGGATGTAACCTGACGAATTTGCAGGCGCCCGCATGTCAGAAAATGACAAATCGATTTAGCGCTAACCTGGCGACAACCAAGTAAAAAGTTTCTAGGGTTGTTAATAATTTTCGTTGTGTTTCTCCCTGAAACCAAACGAAATGACGTCCCGGAAAATAATGAGGATCAAGAAGCCAAATAAAT